CCCCCCCCCCCCCCCCCCAAAACAAAACAACAACAACAACAAAAACTGGCGCCTGCTACGCAGGCTGTGATTGGCGCTACTCTGGAACGTTGGGTCAAAACAAGGAAAGAGACTGGCGGGGACGGACCAGGGGCGGGGGAGACAAAGGTTTGTTTGTGTTACACTGATTCTTCTATAATGCGTTCGAAGTTGCGCAAGAGCGGGCACCTACGCAAGTTCTACCATAAGCACGTACTGTGTGCTCGGTTATTTATTACTTGAACCACACTGATCACCCACCCAACGCTCCATTTTTGCACGCTGTATCGCCGCACAAAAGCAAGCAGAACCGTACTAGCTGGCAATGATGCTCGTTTATTTTCAGCACTAGAGTAAACTTAGTAAAACAAGACGGTCCAAAAATCTATAAATATCGACGCTGCAATCGCTAGTTGAGACCGTGGTAGGACGCCCTTACTTGTGCTTTATACTGGCTTTATACAGCTTATTGCAATACAATGCACAACGCATTAGGATATTTCCAAACTGACAGAAACCAAAGACAAACAGAGGAAGGGGGAGAAGTGTCGAACCACTACCAACAACCAAAAAGAACAACGCAAGCAATATATGTTTGACGGCCCACCCTAAAGCGGGGGTTGAAGGGGGGAGGGAAGAGTTGAAGTTACCGAGATGATAAAAGAATTTTTTTTGGTTTTGAAATTTTTCATCACGGGATTTCTTTAGGGATAGGAAACTTTAGAAAATATAAATATCTATAGACATTTTTAGTAGCTTGATTTAAGTAAGAATTTCAAAGGGTATTCAAAACAATCTGATTGGTGTAGTACCGCATGCGTACAATGCTGGCCGCACAGTTCAGACTGTCAGATGAGAAAAAGTAAAATTCAGCAGATGGTACCATAAATAAACCAACCACAAACATTTAGTTTTCATTTTTTGGCGTGCCATATCATTTAATCCTTCACGGAAAAATTTCAGGGCTTAGAGAAATTAGGGCTCGAAAATTTGGTGGGTTAATTTTCGGACTTTTTTGGTTTCGTCGGGAATCCGACAAGTCTGGTAAAACTGCATGGTAAAAAAGAAATCAGATTGTCGGTTCATTTAATGGCATATCTACAACATGTAAGTTAGAGATGGATTTTTTTTGCACAACTCAGAAATAATCGCTGTGTCTCATGTTTACGTAACGCAATCGAGTCTAAAACGGCCTTTTCACGGGAATTTCGTTGTAGTTCGCATGTCTCAGTTTCATTTGTGGAAATGAAGTCAAATAAGGACACAAGGTACAAACAAACAAATTGTAGACCTGATTATGCACTAGACAGGATAGATAGTTGGTGTAGATTTTGAAAACTTCGCTGTTTCGTGGTAAGAACTTACTTTAGCGGGTGAGTTCAACTACTGCACCTGAAGGCCAGAGTAATAGTTCTTTACAGCTGACAAAATGGCATGAAACTTTCCACCGAATGTATATGAAGCATCTATGTATCACCGTGGGACTTGAGGTTACTTAAATTAAACGTATTTTGGCTGAAACATTTGAAACATTTTGGTAGTAGAATTTTCTAGATGTAATTAGGGGCCGGCCATTTGACTCTAAGCGGGGTATGGGTGATTTCATGGGTATGCGTAAGAATTTTTTCCCCCAAAACCTCTGGTGATAGAACGTTTTTCCCTGACATACAAAGCTATTGTATAACAGGTATTTCCTTGCAAGATTTGCTCAAGGTCAGTCTTCAGGATATTTTTTTCTAAAATCACCTACACCCTCCCTCCCCCCGTCAAAAGTCAAATGGTCGGCCCCTAAAATGCTCTTTACACATGATAGGCCACATTAGCGTGTTGCAGAATTATTGCGAAACGCATTAGGGGGGATCAGTCGTGACTGAGAACCCAAAAAAGGGGGATCACTGAAAACTTCGGGGATCACTGAAAACTGGGGGATCACAAGCCTGAAATTGGTAAAACTGCATGGTAAGGAAAAAAATTGAGATTGTCTAGCATACCTACAACATGTAAGTTAGAAATGGATTTTTTTTTGCACAAATCAGCAATAATCGCTATGTGTCATGTTTACGTAACGCAATCAGGTCTAAAACGGCCCTTTCAAGTGACACGTGACATGTCGAGCGAGCGGGAATTTCGTTGTAGCTCAGCATGTCTCAGTTTCATTTGTGGAAATGAAGTCAAACAAGGACACAAGGTACAAACAAACAAATTGTAGACCTGATTATATACTAGACAGGATAGATAGTTGGTGTAGATTTTGAAAACTTCGCTGTTTCGTGATAAGAACTTGACCCCGATGTTTACATTAGCGAGGCGAGTTCAACTACTGCACCTGAAGGCCAGAGTAATAGTTCTTTACGGCTCACAAAATGGCATGAAACTTTCCAACTAATGTATATGAAGCATCTATGTATCACTGTGGGACTTGAGATTGCCTAAATTAAACGTATTTTGGCTGAAACATTTGTTGGAGGATTGATTTGTGTCGCGCGGAACCTCTTGACTGTCGAAAAAGAAAGGTCAAATTACACTCAAGTGCTCTGTGAATTTTGCGTTCCCAAAACTTCATTTCATAAGTTGCCCAGAGTTTCGAAAGTATATTTTGAAAGCTTAGAGATTGCTTTTTAACTTGGAATGTCTTTTTCTGTTATAAATCATGTATTGGATGTGATTTTAGGCCTTTGAAATCTGACAATATTTTGCTCGCGTAAAAGCCTTAAAATTTTGTAAATATTTAAAAATCCACAAATGATTCCAGTTGCGATCAATTCAAGAACATCACCACTCAGTATGTGTATGAAACCCCTTTTAATACGATAAGAAGCTTTTTGGGTTGGATGATATTTGAGTTTGATTGAAATCGTGGTCTTTTCGTAGCCAGGTCTAGGGGCCCGAAAAAGCGGTCTGGCGGAGGCCGTCAATCGCCCGAAGTTGACATTCGTCGTATAGCCAAAATATTTATCCAATGAAACTAAAATTTATATTTCATTACTAGAATACCTAGGGGAGTGTACATAATTTGTTTGGGATTTTTGAAAAATTTTATTTTTCCCACCTCTGGTCGATATTTACAAACATCCGCTCTTAAAACTTTAATTGAAAACTTCGTGTACATTCATTCCAAACGTAGAAAGTCAGTTATTTTTATGCTTTTTCAGAAACGTCTTTTTTTGGAAACAAAGTAAATTCGCCACCAATTCGCCAATTTCCTTCATTTAAAATTTTTGGTCACGTGACATGTCACGTGACATGTCACGTGACCATGATAAAACGTTACGGAACAAGAAGACCTGAAAATTTACTTTTGGGGAAAAAATTATTTTGTTTTAGGTCTCCTAGCAAGAGATATTGTCAATCATTCATATACTCAGAACATAGTTTGAATCTTGCTTAAGTAGTGCCATACAATCACGGGGACACAGGGTGATAATGTAATCGTTTGAAAATTAACATTCACCCCACTCCCTCCGAAAACTTAATAAATTAAGTTTTTAATTGAAGTTTTAAAAGCGGATGTCTGGCGCTGCTGGAGGCCTGTGACGTCCCCAACAATGGTCGCCATCTTGGCCGCCATCTTGGATTTTACCAAGAATTAGAAATCTGGTTAAAACCGTGAGAATGGTAATTTTTTGTGGTTTACATGACAAATAACACATAAATAAGCTCTTTGCATGATATTAACCACAAGATTTACTTTTGTTGTTGAAAGAAGTTGAAAAAACATGTATTTTTACCCAAAAATAGCTTGACCACCTGCTACTTATGACGTCATATCTCGTAACCATAGCAACTGACCATAATTGAATGAAAAAATGAATAAAAACTTTATTAACGAGTCTTTAAGAAAATAGTTGAGAGGAAAAGTCCTTCTACTAATAGAGGACACCATTACGTCGTTCATTTGAATGCAACCATAGTGCTAAACATATTCTGTAAAAATAATTATACAGAAAAAAAAAATAATTCAAAGTATAGTGTTCCTTCCCAGCTAGATACGTCCTTCTCTCTGTGCCAGAGTCCTCTCATGCTAAAACTATAAAATCACTAAGTTATCAAATTTCTCATTTCTCTCAGTTATCATAACAGATACCCAGTTACATTTACATGACCAAGAGGACCTACTAGTTAGAGCGAAGCTCTGAAGGTCATACTACTTCCAATACGACTTAGTGTAGGAGTCGTGTGATGCCCGTCGCTTATTTTTAACCCTAAAAATAACTTGAGTGAAATTCACATATCCCAGCCAACGCCCTAAGATTCCCTCTCTGTCCCATTATGGCTCTTGCATGCACTCATTGGGTGGGTTTTTTTACCTGTGTAGATTTTTGCAAAGACAAGGGAGCTGGCAACCACGCCGACCCTGACAACTGTTACAGCTTCATTATGTGCGATGTGGCTGGCAATGCACACGAAATGGATTGCCCAGCAGGGCTTTCATTTAATCCAAGCCTTCTTGTATGTGATTGGCCTGAAAACGTCGAATGCGAGGCTGGAAGTGGGGAGTTATTATGATGTAGAAACAAGCATACAGCCTCTCTGTTAATGTGTTTGTCATCCAAAGCAGAAATCGATGGTTGTAATTTAAATGAGTCATCCAAGTCAATCCAGATCTTCACTGCCCTATAGGTGAAAGATCGTTGCCCCGAAGCTGTTTTGAAAAGTGGGATTTCGAGGCTGCTACGGTTAAGCGTCAACCTGTCATGAATATTTGTTCTCTGTAATAAGTTGGAGCAAAGGTAACCAGGTGCAAGATTATAAGAGCATTTAAAAAGCATAACAGCGTCTCTCAGGTATAACTGCTGTTTAACAGGGAACCAGTTAAGCTGACCTAAAAGCAGGTTTACATGGTCAAATTTTCTTGATCCCGTAATTATCTTAGAAACAAAGCTCTGAATTGACTGAAATTTCTTTAAGTTAGAGGCAGATGTATTCTACCAGACTGTGGAACAATAAAACATCTTACTGAACACCAGTGTTGTGATCATTATTGAAAGCGTTTCCTTATCGAAGATTTTTTAAATTCAATTGATTTGAACTAACTTAGCTAAGCAAGATGAGAAAAACTGAGAGATATGATTATTATAAGTGAGATGTGAGTCTTATATCATGCCCAGGTCCTTAGCTGAGGTTAAGGGAGTCAACAACTTTTCAAGGAATGACAGCATTGGGCAAGTAAGCTGTCTGCCCATGAGTTGCTTAGTTCCAAGAAGCATAAACTTTGTTTTGTCTTGGTTGATTAACAGGTGGTTTTCACAACACCAAGTGGTGACTTTAAGCAAGTCATCTTCTAGTTTCCTTAATGTGATGTTAGTGCTTGCCAGTGGAAATGATAGAAATAGGTTAAAATCATCAATGTACAACTCCAGACAACATTCTTGTGGCACATAAGGAAGGTCATTCAAGTAAATGCAGTTTTCCTAAGAGTAAAGGTGATGAAATGGCACCTTGCAGTAACCCATGGCTGATTGGTAGCACGTCAGACAGTATAGACCCAAAACGAACTGCTTGAGAGCGGCCTAACAAATAGCTCTTGAACCGCTTTAATGCATCCAATGACACGCCCATAGCGGAGATCTTGCAAAGCAATCGATCATGATCAATGCTGTTGAAAACTTTTGATAAATCAAGCAGAATCAAAGGGGTGATCTTTTTATCTATGGCCTTCAGTATATGGACAAATGATACAAGTATCAATCCACTATTAATAATAAAATGAGTTACAGCATAATTTTTGAGAAACAAGCTTTTTTAAGTAGTGGTGTGCCAATCATTGATTATAATGATCATTGACTGAAATCTTCACAAAGTGACAATCCATTGTGGGGAAGGTTCAATCAATTATCAGGGGAAAAAGTAAAATTTTTGTTGGCAAATAAACATATTAAAAGGTTGTGTGTTGCCTTTTTTAGTAGTCTCATAAATAAAGAAGAAAGAAAATTTGATCACCCAAAAGTCAAAATGTCATGTTCTTTGACTTGTGCAAAGGTAAATAAATAAATGGAATACTTATAGAGAGATTTTTCTGATTATAATCAATGATTAATCAGGCCCCGATTGTTCAAAAGTTGGATAACGCTATCCACCGGATAAATCGCCGTCTAGAGGATAAGTATTACGAAAACCAATTGCGCTATCCTTTGGATAGTGATTTTTCCAGTGGAAAGCGCTATCCAACTTTCAAACAACTGGGGCCAGGTGGGTAAATCCAATTATCTTTGAAGATCAATTTTTTTTATGAAATCTCAACTAATTCCCAACACTACTATTAAGATTGCTTTGTAATACACAAATAACATGTCATTATGTCACATAATGTATGAAGTAAACTCATCATTCAACTTTTGATTTCTTTTCCTTTGGTTCATAATTGTCACCCTCGTCATTGTCATCAAAATTTTGCTCCTCGCTTTGGCCAGTACAACCCTCACTAATGTCTCCTTCTTCTTTATCAGAGAGCAGCTCAGCTGGTTCCTTCAGTAGTTTTCCTGAAATAACTGATCTTTCTGTGCCTTTTCTAGCATCAGCATGGAATAAAACATCCCTACAGTTCTTTTTGATGGCTGCTTTTGATTGTTCCTCCTTCAAATTAAACAATAACCCGAGATTAATGATATCGTAAGGCCCGCGAAAGTCAAGCTCGTTTACTGCCCCACTTGAAATAATAATGTTCTTTCCTTTTGCAAAAACAACCAAGTCCAAAGCCGTAGAAATTAGATTTTTTCTCTGGGATGAGTCTCTTATTGCAGACGAATAAACAATCTCAAAATGTATTCCTCGTTCAATTGCTGCATTAACTGTAGGGAATTTCAAGTAGAATGGAAGGCGTTCTGTCATGTCGAGTGAAATTATATCAACATCTAGCGTTTTACAAGCTTGCTGGAAAAGCCTCTCTGTAGCCGGTTGAACTGCTAAGATATCATGGGATTGTACGGGATCACTGGACAGTTGATGCACCTGGCTTTGGTCGTCTAGCTGTACAGTTAACCGTGTATAAACTTTCAATCGTGGGTTGATTTTCTTCATATCTTGTATCGCTGGGTAATTACCCAAGTTGACTGGGGTCAGTTTGGCGGCGCCCTTTCTTTCTTTTTTCACTGTTTCAAGGCGAAAGGTTTGGCAAAGAGCAATTGTTTCAAAACCAAGTTTGACAGCCTTAGAGACAAGTTTCTCTGTTTCACGTGGGTTGTTCAAGCAAGTAACATTGAGATCCGCAAAAGCCGCCATTTTGGTAAATGCGTATTTGACGACTGCTGACCAGTTTTATTGTCAAACATAATTTCATTCCCAGTATCCTTCTCGGACAATTGTTGACCATGCCTTTAAAAAAATTGCCATAAAATGAGAATATAAATGTTTATTTATCGTGATTATCGTTATTTGTTGTTTACCTGCACCTGATTACTTTCGACAATACGTCTTTTGGTCTTAGTCAAGAGCCATTATGGCTCTTGTCTTAGCGGATTAGTGCATTTTTGTGCCACTGACTTTCAACCATGATCTTTTCACCAGAGGAGCCGTAATATTTTCACCAATCAGACCAGTACTGCTTTTGTTTCTGAAGTTTCTGAAGCGTAAATTGTCTATTTTATTTTCTGTTTTATACTACTACATGAGAAATTTCTGCAATTTGATCGGCTTAGAGCAGTGGTATTTCAGCTTAATTTGAAATACCTACATGTGAAAACTACAAACCTTTGCGAGTAGTAGTATAAACAAATAATAGCATGATTTGTGCTTGATTTTTGGCATAAATACCACTCGTGACGTTTCAAAATTGTCTCAAATTTCAATCGTCATTACGTATAACAATTTTGAAATATCACTCGTGGTATTTATGCCAAATATCACTACAAATCATGCTATTACCTATACAAACCGTACAAAAGGAACGATTTATTATCCGTGTGATCAGAGGGCCACAAGTTTATCCGGATCATATTTTACCCTAATGAGGTCTCCACCCCTCCCCCTCTTGAATCCTAAGCCATACTTGAGTTCAAATGAGAAAAAACTTACCAAAAAGTAAACTTTGACGTGAAATTACATAAGTGCTTTCTCTTCTTTTTTCCGTCTTTTTGAACTCTTTTTTTGCACTTTCAGCTTACCCTCCTAGCTGAGATTTCTTTCCGGCATGGTCAGTTAATTTAATTTATGAGAAGTCTTTCGCCTCTTTGATGTTCAGGCAGTTCCGCTTACTCGGGGCAGCGACGCGAACGATTCTGCACATGCTAAAAGCCATGCCGTAGCCGCCAGAGCGCCTCAAGAGCTTGCTCGCAGGGTAGCCATGCCCGGGAGACTGAGGAAACCTCTGCTCTCAAGGCCGGTACTTTAAGCACAGCCAATAGGAAAAGCATACCAGTTCCTTGTTTTGTTTAAACAACTGCTTTTCGTGTGATTTTCTATTTTACATTTTGTTGCTTGAGGTTTAGTTGTCGTGGCTGAGACTGGCAGGCGGACAGTCATGTACTCTCAGCTTTTCCAGCTGTTTTTCTTATCTATTATATATCAAATATAAAAAATAAACTAACTTTCGTTTAAGGCTTATCCTTAACAAGAGTTTCACACATTCTCAACCAGCCGGTGAAATAATGAAGATTTGCTTGCTCTTTATAACCAATATCTGTCTTTTGTTTCGTTCAGGTAAATTCCCACTTTTTCGTAAATGTCTTTTGCCACTGTAGTTGCATAATTTCTACACTAAAGAGCGTTGAACTCTCTACAAAGCGGCCAGTCGTCCCTTACGCGCCCGAGAGTGGCAGCTTGTTCTATTAATAGTGCCAAAACTGCATACATCCGACCCAATGGAGAATAGGGACGGATTTTAATGAACCAACCTCTTCGAAGCAATAGAAAGAGTGCTAGTATTATTAGTTCTACATTGTATTGCTATGTATTTTGTGCAGGTAACCCTCGCGAGTGTTGTCCTAATGAGTTTTAATAAGTTAAATCCAATTACTATATATCACAAATGCAAATTACAAAAAAATAATACTAAAAAGGATAAGCCCGCAAGGAGGGTAGTGAGTACTCAAGATTAGTACTCAGGTATGAAAAAAGTTGAATTTTTATGTTACATAATAAGTTCTGGTCGTCCAGTTTTGAATGACCACGGGTCCGTTCAATGGCTTATGAACCTTCATTACTAAGCCTTATTTGGCAAAGTAGTACGTTCCTGTTTTTCCAAGAGGCTGGAAACACGACGCAGAAATGATTGTGAGAGTGAGGTTGCAAATTAAAATGTAAACTGACCTAATGATCTATCTCTTCGTTTGAGATACAGGTGTATTGTCTGGGGTGTTGGAGAAAAGAGATTCAGGTATGTCAAACCGGAGACTTCGTTTATTAGAATGCAACCATAGTGCTAAACATATTCTGTATTAAAGATAATTAAACAGAAAAAAATCTAATTCAAAGTATACTGTTCCTTCCCAGCTTCAAACTTGGTCATGACATAGGAGGCACGTCGATTGTCAGTCAACGTGTCAGTTTTATTTTCTTCATGGCCGGAGTAAAAAAAACAAGAGAGAATAATGTATTTCGAGTCAATCGGCAGAATTCAAATTTCGTTGGAGGGGAATTTGCAATCAAGGACCAAAAAATACTGGTGTTATTTAAGTCTGCTTCGGGTCCAGCGATGAGTTAACTGAAGCAGTTTCATTCTTAAATGAATAATTTTTATAGGAAGCTTCAAGTTCTCAACGAGAAAAGCTTTTCATTGGTAACGGATAGCACTTTATTGTGTGTCTGATTGCGTGCCTCGGACTGCGAGACAATGCATTGACTCTACCATCCCCTGTGACTGTCCTTTTGTGTTTCACTTAATTTCCCCACTAGCCCGTACTTAGTATTAGAATGTTATCGACGACAATTTGCCGATCATAGCCGAATGAAGGTCGTGCGCAGTTTCTGAAATACGCAAAAGAATATCACTAACAAAAGCGCCATTGTCTTTGAAAAATGCAACCATAACAATAGGCAAAGTTTGATACGCAGCCGGGGTATTCAGAACACTCATTAATCAATTTTTTTCAGTTAAGGCTTAGGTTAGCCTGAATTTCATCCGATTACTTCGAGTCGTTATTACTCCCTCAGTTCAGAGGAGAAAACGACTCGAAGCAATCGGATGAATTTCAGGCTAGGCTTTGGTCGACTTTACTGTGGGATGTTCATTTTTTTCTCATTTTTGAATCACTTATTATGGAGCTACATATGATTTTCCATTTAAATAACGTCACAATTAAGGTTTGCGGATTTCTCTGCTAACCAATGTCATAAAATTAAACTTCAGTGTAATTCTCAAATCCCAGCCAGAGTTCTAAGTAGATAAGTATTTCTCTCTGTGCCAGAATCCTCTCATGCTAAAACTATAAAATCACTATGTTATCAAATTTCTCATTTATCTCAGTGTTCATAACATACACCCAGTTACATTTATATATGACCAAAAGGACCTACTACTTAGAGCGCAGCTCTGAAGGTCATACTACTTCCAATACGACTTAGTGCAGGAGTCATGTGATGCCCGTCGCTTATTTTTTTTTTTTTTTAACCCTAAAAATAACTTAAGTGAAATTCACATATCCCAGCCAAGACCCTAAGATTCCCTCTCTGTCCCATTATGACTCTTGCATGCACTCATTGGGTGGGGTTTTTTACCTGTGTAGATTTCTGCAAAGACAAGGAAGGTGGCAACCACGCCGACCCTGACAACTGTTACAGCTTCATTATGTGCGATGTGGCTGGCAATGCACACGAAATGGATTGCCCAGCAGGGCTAGCATTTAATCCAAGCCTTCTTGTATGTGATTGGCCTGAAAACGTCGAATGCGAGGCTGGAAGTGGGGAGTTATCATGATGTAGAAGCAAGCTTACAGCCTCTCCGTTAACATGTGTGTCATCCGCGCTGAAAAATAATACTGTCTAAAACGAATTGTAAAACTGTGTCGTTCGGAACTGAATAAAGAAGTGTCCGGCTGAAAAGACTTATAATATCCAGTTAGTCCGAAACCTGAAACTACGCATGAACAAAATTCGTCTTAATGCAGTAAAAAGTTTTCCTTTCGAGGAAAAGGGGTTGTAGTAAACGTGAAAGCTTGACAAGCTTTTTTCCATGACAAGTTATTGAGTTCTCAAGGTTCTAGTTTAAAATAGAAAATGTAATCCTAAGGCTGCCTGCATATTGGGGTGCAGGGCCTAAAGTGAGTCGTATTGAGTACTCTAAGCTTCTTACTATAACCAATCACTACAGTGATGCTTCTCTAGAATTGTCCAAGTCTGGTCCCCTTCATGAAGCGCAAGAATATCGCCTTGACATAAACATGAACTTAACATAAACTTAGCCTTCGAGCAAGCTCTCCTATTTGGGCGAGCGAGTACGCGCTAGCGAGCGGCGCGTTCTCGGGAGGCTCGCCCAAATAGGAGAGCTTGCTCGCCAACCTCGTCCCCAGGGCTTTTCCCTTAAAAAATGGGTGGGGCGGCCCACCCATTTTTTAAGGGAAAAGCCCTGGGGACGAGGTTGCTTGCTCGCAGGCTAACATAAACTTTACTACACTATCCGTCTTAGAAAAAGATTTGTTCCCATGCCAATTAGCACGGAAATGTTAATAAGGTACTGAATTATTAAGCAAACTAGAAATCTCTATGTTCAAAGCTTGAAATTAACAAACAGTCTCTCATCCATGTAGGGGCACAGACTTCTCGTCTCGGTCTTTTGGCGAGACAGTGGAACCGAGCCCCACTCCTACGCACAACCTTGCACGAGAGAGGTTGACCCCAGCCCCCGGGGATTGACCCTCTGGAAACGAGTCAGATAGAAAACCAATTATCTAGTTGATAATACTTCTGGCAAACTTTTCTAGGGATCTTATCGAATCTTAACGTACTGACTAAAATATAGTTCAGTTTAGGATGTAAGGACCAACGTTAATACTACCGACTGTATAATCAGCCTTGCCTTTTCAGCAGTTGACTAATTAACAATTATTCCTTGAGCCCGAATGGGCTCTGAGTCAATAGTGGCAGGACGAGAGGAATAATTGTTTTCAGTAAAATCCAACTAGTTGGGCAAAAACATCGAGAATAAAAAAGTTTTAGCTACTTAAAGCTAGACTTAAATCCTTTTTTGCCGCCAAAAAGCCGGGGCTTTTCGCTACTAGTGGCCTAGCCTATAGCCTAGTAGTAGCTCAACCAATCAGAACGCAGCATTGATAATAGACCACTAGTTGGATTTTACTAAAATGTCATAATCAATCAAGTAAAAAGCCTTACCATCGAAAAGGATTTTCGCGATAATGGAACCGTTCCTATCAGTATCTTTTAGCGGTTGGCGGTGTCCACCTAGACGACGACCAAGATGCGAAAACGTGTCTTGAAAAGTGAGAACCATTTTCCGAACCGTTACCGGTCAACTCCAGTATTGGACACTTTTTTCGCGTCCTGAGAGTGTCCGCTTATGGGAGCTTGCCTTCTCAAGCGAATTGAAGTTACTCTTCTTCCGACCTGCTACGAAACTTAGTGCCGCGAGTTACACACACAAGACCGTATGCCCTTGGAACAGGAGAATCTGTTTCTGTGTCTGCCTCCTCAAGAACTAACAGATTTGGAAATTTTTGCACCATCAAATACCAGAAACAGTTTTAAAATAGCGAAATGTGATATGTCTTAACATTAACAGTTATATTTACGTGTAATAATTCCGAAGTATTTGTTTGTAATTGATGATCCGCCTGCAAAAAGGTTGAATAAGCGATCATTATTAACAGGTCTTAATTCCACGCGCTGGCGTACAACCTCCTGTTGGTCAGGAGCCGATTGCCTCTGTTAGTACAATGGTACCGTTCCGTGGCTTACTATACATGCAGGAGAGAAATAACCTGTATCGATTCAGCGCTTTGGTACGTCAGTTCTACAAAAGATCTGCTGGTCTGGATGAACAGTAGACCGCGAGCAGTCTCTCATTTTTCTTTTGAGTCACGGAAATCGAGAACACGTGATCTCCGTGCATGGCAATGAGGAATAGACTACGAATACTGTCCCCCATTTTTTCTCAAGGATAGGAGAGCGAGCGAAACGCAAGCGCGTGTCGCCTTTTCTCGCGTGGGGTGATTTTCACGCGCGCTCGCGTTTCGCTCGCTCTACTATCTCTGAGGAAAAATGGGGGACTACTCGTAGTCTAAATGAGGAAAGAATAGCCTGCGTAGCATGGCGGTTTTGGTTTTGTGCGCAAAGTAATAAAGGCGGCCGAGGGCAGAGAAACCGCGAGCTCAGTACTGCGCCAGACAAAACCGCCATGCTATTAGTCTGCGAAAACATCCGTTTCTCCACCCTCTTCGCCGCTGGGGACGTTTCCTCCCCGCGAAACGTCCCCAGCGCCGAAGAGCTAGGGGAAACGGATGTTTCCGCAGGCTACCATGCTACGCAGGCTAAGGAAGGAAGGACGACCGCTAGCCTGTGGCGGTCTAGATGAGAAGATCGATGTCTGCGAAATCATCCAGCACCCGGTTTTCAGTGCGGTTTTCTGCCCACCGGTTTCAAGATCAAATTTGCCGGAAACCTTCGGCTTCGTCGAGCTTCGGCGATTACACTCAACTGGGTCTGGCTTTTGTTTTAGTCCGCTGAAGGTACCAACTAAGGGGTTGTTGTGCAAAGTCACATTTGGCGAAGGGTCAATCAGAGTTTGACCCCGGGGGATACTCGGCCAGTATTGAGCTGCTGAGGATTAGAAACCCTGACCCTGCTTAGGACGAGGATCGTTAAAATCCCCATACAAACCCTTATAATATTTTTGTTGCGTAATTAACAACGATTCTTACTCGCCAGCGTGGGGTACCTGTGTACTGTCAGTAGTTCATTATGGAGAGCCTGTGCTTTCACATGTGCATGTGACGCAAGATTTGGCTGGTGTTGCGTGACACAAGTAAAGTACATTGTTCTATGTCGTGGAAGTAAATATTTCGTAATCAGTTTCCGCAGGAGAACCTTCGCCATTAGGCCGAAGGATCATGGTTAACAATACTTTTGGGAGAAATCTACTCTAATTTAGAGCCAACCAAGTAAGTCCTTGAGTTTAAATGTCGTTGGTCAAGGCATATACACACGTATCTAATTGCATCGTTCAAAATATAAACAGTAGTCTGTGTTTAAATACTAAAGCGCGAACAAATTCTACATAAAAGGCTCAGCGATCATTCAATAAGCCATAGGTTCCATATTCTAGTAGGAACCGAGCCTATTAATACTACGGCGTTTTCTATTTTTATGTGCACTTCAAGCATTTAGGCGCCAAATATACCACTCGCTTGAAATTTTGTAACGTAATGCACGCGCCATTCCTAGCAGAGCATTCAGCAAACCGGTTTGCCTTTGGTATCCAGATTTGGTGATCTGATATGTTGCTGTCTTGATAATCTGCTTTGGAACTCTTAACCTTTTGTATTAGGATAAATTTGCAGAATAATATTGCAATGGGGACCAGCAAAAACAAAAGTTAGGGTTCGCGAAAATCAGTGTTCCGTGAAATGTTCAATGAATACATAATACTTGGGCGAGTGAAGCAAGTCTCGCGAGAACGCGCGAGCGAGCGGCGAAGCCGCGAGGGGCAGAGCCCAAATTGGAGAGCTTGCTCGCAGGCTAAAGCAAGTTTTCCTAGAATGACAAGTTTTTGTATTACTAGTAACAGCGCCAAAAATTAAAGGTTGCATTTATAAAATTAGAAAGTTGACAAGATACCACTTGACCGAGAAAAGACTAGACTTTGGCACATACCAATCCATGAGTTATTTTACATTTTCGAGAGTTACAAAATTTTGCGGATGGGCGTATTTATATTTCGCAGGAACTATCTATCCTTTTCACGGTAGGTCCAATTCGAGCAAATGCTGTCAAGAAAGAAATATCCTCAGGGTATCAACGTACCGGCGAAAGAATGGTTGAAAATATAATAACATTGTCGGTTCTATCTACTAATTAGACTAATTACAGTTTATCGCTGAATGTGGCTTATTGCTTCTGTCCAGGCAGGATCTGATTCATGTTTATTAGTAACTGGCTCAAAACGGCTGTGTAGCAGACTACTTTTCTCGTAAATGGCGATGTTTTATATGTAAATGTGACACTGGAGTTACTTTTCGCGGATAAAATTTTCGGGACCACAAAAAATGGCAAAAATTAGAACGTGTGAAGTTATTAAAGTGCCAAACGGTACTTGACCTATATACACGCACAAAGGGGTTCCTTTTTGTTTACCAAGAATGGCTCGTTTAAGGGCCGTAAGTAACACTGGTAAAACAAATTGTTGTGGCCATCATCATATAACTTTCTCGCAACGAACGTGATAGATGATTTTTGTGAACGACGTCGTCCACTGTGGTTTGGTGTTAAAAATAGGTCATCATAAAACACCCTGCGAAAGTACTTCCGGTCACGAGTGATGTGACCGGAATTGCACTTGAGAACGTCACTTGTCGTTCTGTAAAATCGTGTCACATCAGATATTTAGTTCTGAAGCTCTTTGATCCAGAACATTTATAACGTTTTAGTCTATAAGCTTCATGCTGACGTCCCTTTCGCTTAGAGGAGTCATCAGCCTGCGAAGAAGGCAAAGCCATTCGGAAGCACAACACAGGTCATCGAGAAAACGATGGGGGAGAGGGTACGGGGAAAAAGGCAGAGAGACCTTCTTTTTCTCGACCCTCCCCCATCATTTTCTCGTTTTACGTCTTACTTGATCAGACTAAGGAGTTATGTAAGTTTTCAAATTGTGGGATTGACTTAAAATGATAATTGTGCAATTTGCAGCTTGACTGAGATGCTGGGGAAATGTACTGGTACAGAGTTCTCCTTAGCCTGCGAACAGCAGACGTATTTCCGGTCGTCCCTTTCGGAGGGAGAGAAGCGACGACCGGAAATACGTCTGCTGTTCGCAGGCTAGGTTCTCCTGTACCCATAGGCCATACCAAAAGGGAAAAAGGTATCTTTATCCTCTCTTGGCCTAACGGAAAGTTGCAGTTTCCAGTCGACCTCCCTCCCCTCTGAATGGTCGAGAGGAAAAATAACTCTTCTAAGAAGGACATGCTTCAAGGCTACATTCTCTTTCCTTTTTAGTTGGCGCGTTTTTTTTGGGATGCAATTCAGTTCATGTAAAGCTGTTAAATCCCTCAGACCTGAGGTCAGACACCTCATGACGTTTAGACAATGTCGTATTCGGTATTGCTTTCTAAGCCGAGGAAGAAGAGCTTATTTACCAGGAAAAGCAAGTGAGAAAGTAGAGCTGCGTTTATGATTTCACTGAATTATAGTGATTAGGTGATTTAGATTAGTTAGTTTGAAAACTCCATTTAAGTATTATAACATATACAGTCAACTCTCTCTAAGACGGACACCTTTGGGACCGGCACTAGCTGTCCGTGTTAGAGAGATGTCCGTCTTATAGAGAGTCAAATAGAGGGAGCAAAGAATTGAAAGGCAGGGACCAACTCTAGCTGTCCGTTTTACAGAGGTGTCCGTCTTATAGAGGTGTCCGTTAAGAGAGAGTCGACTGTACACATTTCTTTCAGTTGTCTGTCACGAAAACCTCCTCCCCAGGTTGCTCAGCTCAAGGCTGCAAAAGACCCTAGGAACAATGTTGGTAAAGTTTCCTCCCCGCCTTGTTCCCTGCCCATAGAACGCCTATTTACACTTTCTTTTTCTGCTGCAGTAACTAGAAAATCATGACAGAGGGAGGGAGTGAAAGCACATACGGCGCTGTTGGGTCAACCACGCCAGTTAGAGAAGGTGAGGAGCACGAAAGAGTGCGGAGCATCAGTTCATTTTACGATGACCAAACAAAAGACTGCAGAACTGTATCGGATGTAGGTGCTGAAAAAGCAAGGTTGCACGAGGGAGAGCAAGAAGAAAAACCTGGAGACGAATTGTTTCTTTCATTTGACAGCTCTCCTAATGAATGCGTCAACGGTATAACAACAGAAAAAATGGCGAGACCCACCTACATGTCTCTCAGTAACAACGAACAATCAAAATCTGATGCTAGTTCATCGATTAGTCCAGGCAGCTCTCAACCCCGTCGAGTGTCATTTTTGGCTAAACCTAATCATAATGAAGCGACAGACCCTGACGTTGCTTATGACAACCGTGGCTATTCCTCCGACATGATGTCATCAACAGACTCAATAAAGCGCGTGCGTGCTATCACAAACTGCAGCGTTCGTTACCACACACATAGTGAAGGTGAAGAGTGCAACGAAAGTGATATTTCTCAACTCACTTTGAACTTTCAGCAAAATTCACAGAGCACGCCTCGGGCGCGAAGGAGAAGGTATACGAGACACGGCACCCTTGTATCGGATTCCTTCGTCAACGAATGTATTTGTTGCTGCACAATTATTTAACGTAGTTCTGGAATACTTAAAGTTTTCTTATATAATGCTACTTCTTCAAAACTAGTGAAGATGCGAACGCTTGACGGGGTAGCAATCGTGGAAGTCGCAAATTACAAGAAACGATCGCGAGTGTGCCCCTTTATTTCTTATGGCACACTCACCACCGATTGCCCGTTTGCTGTACCTCACTACAAACTTTGACGAAACTCAGAAACGCAAATCAGCATTAAGAATATAATATATGACGTTGACTTATTTGATATCGATTTATTTAAGAAGATTAAATATTATACGAAAATTGATATTTTTCACCTGACTGGGTTGCTTTCTTAGGTTACCTATACGAAAATGCATGTTTGTTATAAGGAGGGAATGGTAAGCTATTAAACATTGCTTGGTTAAATTTTAGAAAGTGAAAATGCTAGAAATAAATTCTATTGGAGAGGAAAGGTTGGAAAAGAACTAAGAAAAAGAAAAACAACTATTTAATCTCCTGTATGACGTTTTCAAAAGAACACTTTATTCGCTGATGCAAACTAGATGTCTGTTTTTTTCTTTGTTTTCAAATGTACTGAGGGTGCGGGTGTCGTTGTTTATAGTGGTCGGAGGAGGGAGACGCCTCCACCCAAACCGTTCCCCGCCCTTTCGCCCCCTACGTAACTAGCTAGACCAGGAGCCCATAATCCGGAGCAAAGAACTTCCATGAGCTCGCCTTACGGCGTTTTCACGGACCAGTTTATTTTTAGAACGGTTTTGACGCGAGTTTTGAATATCTTTTAAATTCCACAAACCAGTCAGTAAGACCTACAGCCCTAACAATGATATTTTGTGCCTTTTAATAACGTTTAGTTTTCCTTTTTGCTATCTTATACTTCAAGTGCGCTCATAGACAGGGTGGAGATTCTATTTTCGCGGGAAAAAGCTGCCTTAAAATGTGTCTAAAAATAAACTGGTCCGCAAAAACGCCGTGACATAGGCCTTGTATGGGAGCTGCTCGCTCCATGTTATGGGCTCCTAGCTAGACTCGGTATCTTGGCTTTAAATCCAAGATGGCCGCCCGTATGGGAAGGCACCTCGACGATCTTCTTGATCTTACGGAGAAATAGGGGTCTGTGAACAGTCTAGTCCCAAAGACGCCACATGGAGCATCCTCGGAGACCCAGGGGCAGTCAGTCGGGAAAAAGAGAAACAAAGGAACTACTGATGAGTCGAAAAAACGTTTGGGATGCTATCAGCAGGAGCAATTCAATTTGCCCCGAGAATGTTCTGTTTTTGACGGATCACAATGTATCGTAAATAAGATGCGGCGGTTTAGTCATACTTGGTGGAGTTTCTTGCCCTTCATTTTCTTGTACAATATAAAAAGAGGAATTCTCTGCTGGTTCAACAAGGGTTAGTCCTTCAGGTGTTTCGATCACCATAAGGTGTTGGTCATCTTCCTCATCATCATCATCATCACCATCATCATCATCATTGTTATCGACATTGCCAACACTGTCATCCTTGTCACCTCTATCATCAGCAGCTATGTCCTTTGCTTCCTCAAAATTTACGTCATTACTTCCATCACTTTTGCCCTCTAATGCAGTCACCTTGAGCTTTTCCTCTAAAACATGTTAATTAACTATAATTAATAAAGAGACAACAAACATCAATTCATCCTTTTAGTTACTAGCATAGACTGTACAATAATACATTCTTTTTTATATCAGGGTACAATTTTGCAATATCTAGACTGATAAAAATCAAAATTACCTCTCTTGATGTCAAAATGACGTTAAAATTTCCTAACTTTGGTTGATTGTCAATCAATAGACCATTTGACAGTTGTTGACTTAGTACCCTAGCCTTCAAGTGAATGTGAGGCTGACGGTGACCTTGATTTGATATAAACCTCCTTTTCTTTGTTATGCAAATTGTCCTTGAAAAATACTGGTTAATTTAGCATAAGAATAACTTGATTTACATAATAAGGCAGGAAGGTTTGTATCAAAACAAGGTCACCGTCAGCGTCACTTCCATATATAACTGTAAGTGGCCTATTTCCTTTGACTCCTAGCCCTAATAATTCATGAATTAGGGCTAGGGCATCCTCGGAGACCCAGGGGCAGTCAGTCGGGCAAAAGAGCCCCTGGGTACCGACTCTCACCGAACTATTTCCAAAAATTCGAGCGGATGCCGGCTCCTGATTGGGCACAAAAAATGCTTTGTATTATTGTGCCCAATCGGCAAACAGTTTCTCCTGAGTTCTTTTCGTGAGTTCGTACACGACGGCTATTGTCTCGCCACACTTGCCCGGTTCGTTCACCAAGCTTGTACGTGCAAGGGAAACTTTTATTTTCTACTTTCCTAACTAGAAACAAAGGAACTACTGATGAGTCGAAAAAACGTTTGGGATGCTATCAGCAGGAGCAATTCAATTTGCCCCGAGAATGTTCTGTTTTTGACGGATCACAATGTATCGTAAATAAGATGCGGCGGTAACATGAAAGTCAAATAAGCAACAGCTTGACAAGGCAACAACTTTGCACGTGCATCACGCTTTTTTGCACATTTCCTTGCCGTCAACTGCACGACTACCCGTGAAAATGCCTAATTTCAACTTTTGTGAAGGATGTAAACAAGCAATAACAAAATTCATTCTCTTCATGAACTTCTTGGATATGGTTGATAGAAATTCAGCTCCAGAAGAGTTGGCTTGCATGTGACAAAGTAAGCGAGTTGAAATAATTACGATAGAGGCTGAAGAAATGTGAATTCACTTTTCCAAGCGATGTTTTCGTGGCTGTCAGCCGTCGTGGTATCTTTGAAAAACTCCCTAATATTTCCGCAAGACGTGGCCGATTCAAGCGTAAATCAATAATACAAAGCATTTTTTGTGCCCAATCAGGAGCCGGCATGCGCTTGAATTTTTGGAAATAGTTCGGTAAGAGTCGATACCCAGGGGCTCTTTCGCCCATACTTGAAAACTTTCATCCCGCCTTTTCTCCCGACCCGACTGACTGCCCCTGGGTCTCCGAGGATCCACATGGAGAGAATGTTCAGAAAGACACACATGTACATAGGGGGTATTCGGAGTTTATTAAATAAACGTCTCTAAAATGCAGAGAACATTCACAGGTAGAGCATGACCAATGTCACACACATTCATTGCTAGAACAGAGAGGCTGTCCGTGAGAAAAGCAGCAATTTTAAACAATCAAATATTCTGAAAGTTAAACTCAAATCCATCAAGTTTTAATTCCAAATTGAAGCTGTAAAATAAATGATATACAATCTCAGAGTAGAGGTAGAAAATTTCTCTATTATTTACAAGTATAAGATCACGTTTCATTTCACTCGACTTCCTCTTCGGCTAGTCGAGGGAATGCAAAACATAATTTAACAAGCACTCTACGAAAGCAAAGGGATATACTGACAAATTGTGACTTGAACTCTGTTTCGATTCTCATCCAACTTCTTGCACAGAAAGACTCAGTAGCCTCAAAATTAAGGGTCGATGAACAAGAAGAAAGTATGCTCGTGCAATCTGAACATTAGTCAGACTTACACTCGTAGAAAAACAAATAGCTAGGTTGCATCGCTTAACGTTTCTGAACAGCCACAAGATTTTAGTCATGAGCGGGTAATTTCAATTTTTACTCATCGAGAACCGAGAAAAGAAAAACGACAAAAAGAAAAGGAGACAAAAAAAACTGTCACTTCAACATTTGAAAAGTAAACGGCCCTTGCTTTGCTTTCGTTCTTTTTTCAGGAAGGGCAGTCAGCACCAACCCAAGGTTATAGAGTTAACCCTTCCATTTCCAGAGTGAACAATGGAGTCTTGTAATGTGGTTCGAACTTTCAAGTCTGTGGACAAAATCCTACGGTGTGACCATTCAAATAAAGGTACCGAGCAGAACGTGCGCATAGCACTTTTTCTTTCTTTTCTTATTTTTGACTTAAGCCATGTTTGGGAGTGAAAGGGTTTCAGTTCAGTTTCTCATAGACTATCATAGTATATTTTGGGTTAACATATTGACCGGGCCTCTGAATTATGGCTCAACAATATTTAATAAGCTCTAGCTATATGTATCTAAACGAGGGCAATTTTGTGTAAAATAACTCTTAGTAAACCTGGGTGAAAGATAACCATCTTTTGAGAGCAACCCTGGCCGGAGCTATTACTTTCACTGAAAATAACTAACAGTGAAAAATACTTCTATAAAAACAATTTGTTGTGGAAGAATAAATGATGACGAACTCAACAACGACACCATTAATTCTTCTAGGAGTTTAATCAGAGGAGTTCAATATAAAAGTCAGCAGCAAAGTAACTTTGTTTCCAGGGGCGCTTGTGAGGCCCAGCGTGGGGCAGACAATGGACGAGTACTTAATATCAAAGAATATTACATACTTAAGCACCACCCTTCAAGGAGAAGGTGTAGACGACATAATATTTTATAGTATTTACATCCCAAACTAGTCTTTACTTTATGCATATCTTCTTTGAAAGTGGGAGATAAATGGGGAGGGGAAAAATTAGTACCCCACTATGATAAAAATAAAATCACCGCATTTTTTTCCTTTCATAAAAACGCTTTACATTGGAGGCGCTAGATCCAGCGCCTGGACATTGTAAAAATGAAAATCATTCTCTAGCTACACTAATCGTATAAAATTTTTCTTTGCCTCTTGGTTTTTCTCAGCACCAGTCAGCAGTGTAGTTGAAATCCGCGAACAGTGTCTGCAAAATAATAAAGGTAACAACGGGTTAGGATCAACCATAGCCGCCCACGCAGACTCTCCTAGGGGTTCGTCACGCCTTCCTTCCCTATTGCACCAACTTTGGGGAGGATTGCGTGAGAGGTTAGATCAACCAAAGACACATTAACAAGATTAATAGTTTTCTTGGGAGAATAGTTGCATGAGGTAATTGGCAAGCGCGAACATTTCCACCTCACAAAAACGAGACTGATTTTGCTTCATCAAAGTCCAATCGATTTAATCGGTTAGGAAGGCGGAAACGACAACCTTAGCTGGAGGTCAGTTTCATTTAATCGTCGCAAACCCCTCTCGCTTGACGACGGCGACAAGTTTCAATTGCAAAAAGTGGGAACTGGGGACCAATCAAAACCTTCAAAACCTTCGAACTAGCAGACTTAAACCTGCGCATGTTTAGAGTTCTTTTTCAAATTCAAACTTTTGCATCAGGCCAGAACTGATGGCGAAATAGAAGAGACGTTAAAGTAACTGAGATATAGTTTAAACAGTGGAATTGCATTGAGATTCCACAGTGAACAAGCAACCCGAAGGCCATACAGATGAAATAAGGACATTGTTGATCAGATGTAAGATTCAGCATATCTGTACCTGTTCTTCGTCTGACAGCGTTCTAATTTCTTTGGGCGGGGTAAGGACTGGATCCTCCGATGTGAACTCTTCATCGAAATTACTCACATCCTCTGCATGTTTCTGCCAAGAAAACGTCAACAAGTTACACTAATTATCATTTTCTGTAGACTTTACACCCTATGTTACGGGCCTTCAGAGTAACCACAGCAAGGGATGAAAGAAACCCCACCCAGTTAAGGAGAACAGCTCGAAGCAGATTACCATAACAATTACAAAATACGCCTAACTATAAGATAAAGACAAAACCTGAATCTGACGTTTTATTGCAGGTTTACAAGCATGTTGTCACAGAGTCCATTAAGCAAATAACATGTACTTCACTAACGAGCTTAAAAATTACTTTTCTTCTTTACTTATTACCATAGAGTAGGCTCTTGACTGCTGATCCTAGCATTGTTAAGGACGAGGGTAAAATGAGTGAGCCTTTGGTAAGGGCTTGCTCCGCAGGTCAGGTCGAAAGATGGAATCCGGAAGGGGATATAGGATTTTCCCTATGTCTTGTAAAACAGAGCTTAAAAATTGCAATGTTTCTTAAATATGTACATGTACTTCCTTCAGGAGAATTCTAACGTCGGAAAAAGCTTCTAAGGTAACAGGAAAGCGTAAGCTAAGAGAAACTTACCACGCTAGGGACGAAAGGAGGTCGAACTTTTCTCGCGAGAAGGTCATCCCAATTCATGTCCTAAAAAGAAAAGAAAGGAAAAAAAATTAGCGACACCCTGAGCGATTATAAAAAGACACTTTTGAGGTCCCTCACTACTAGCCGGCTATGGCACTTGATGAGTTCAAAGGACTGTCTATTGAGTCACTGTTTTGGCCACTTTGCTTAATTTTGTCAAAATTAATGATTGTGAAACTTATCGTCAATTACTAAATTGCAGTCGCAGCTCTAGAAAGCGACCACCTCGGAAATTAAAAAAGGTGGTCGTAACTAGAGCTGGTCGCGTACGAGAATGAGCTCTCACAAGCGACCGCATAGTAAAACAATAGAGGGTCGTTGCTTACGAGAGCTGCAGAAACTCATTAACAATTCATAAAAAACGAAAGACATTAATGTTTAATGAGTGTCTTTATGACTGATATAGACACAGCTTAACTTTACGTCCAATTTTTAAAGACCATTAGGGCAGTGTGCAGTTTCATTGAAGCGTCGAAATTATGAAGAAGACTCGGACTGGTGGCTTACGAGAGCATAAAAACAAAGGAATAGTCCAGTTGGGTAGCGGTCGCTTACGACAGCTTTTCATTACAAAGTTGAAGTCACAGTTCAAACGGGGTTTTACAAATGTGGTCGTGAATAGAGCAGGTCGCTTACGAGAGTAGTTGCAAAGAGAGCTTCGACTGTACCGCTAAATAACAATCACACCTTTTTGAAAAATAAATGTCTCCTGGGAATTCAAATTTAAAGTCACGAACACAGAAGAAATTTGAAAATCATACAGGCTGAACAATATTCACAACCCCCAAATGTAAACCGTAGCAATCTTAGTCAATTTTGGCCACCCGTGCCTTCTTTTTTATTTGCCTGCACCTCAATTTGGTGGCCACTTCTTCAAGGTTAAATCCGGTTAAATTGTGGATTTACTTACCCTAAAGAAAGGCTGTTTTCTAACATCCTCTGCATCTTTTTCGCTGGCTCCTAACCGTCTCTCTGGGTTCCGTCTTAGTAACTGTAGGAAAATCAAAACAAAAGATCAATCAGAAAGAAGAGTTACTGACTCTTTTTAACAGTCTTCATGTACAAGCATAGCAACTCTTAGTAAGACAAGCCCACTTTTAGCGGATTTCCGTTGCCACAAACAGTTCTGTTCAGCTGCGGTAAAACGGGCAGAAAATAGGTGCAACTTGTTTCGAAACATTGCTACAAAACTAGCTGAAAAGCGATGTTGCACGTTTTACCACCAACATTCAAACCTGTCTAGCAACAAATGAGATTGCTTCAGGCTGCGTGAATACTGACTTCTTATTGGATAAAATTACGAGGGAGTCACGCCATACGCTGGATTTACGTCAATTGGTGCAAAACAAGTTTGCCTTGGGTCGGTAAAACGCGCAACATGTAAAGATTTAGTTGCAAAAGTAGAACTACTCTCTACTTTCTGCAACAGCTTTTCGCAACCTTCAACAACCTGATTTGCTGCAACATTGTTGCGCAACTGCTGCTACCGCGCGAGGATTAGCTCAGTCGGCAGATCGCTTGACTGCAGACCGGGTGGTCGCGGGTTTGATTCCCGGGGACGGACCAATACTCAGGGTCTTAAAATAACTGAGAAAGTAGGGAAGGTACTGCCTTTGCCCTGCAAACGACTAATAGCATGGCTCGGATGACAGCGTAAAATAGCGGTCCCTTCTTTAGTAGGAGACGTAAAAATAGTGTCGTCCATTACAATACTGCTCTAGTGCTAAACACATTGACACACAAATTAAGTGATTTTTTTTTTTCAATTGTCACTACACTGTTCCAGCATGGTTGCCCTAAAAATGGTCGTTGCACATCATTCCGTGCGAAATCACCTTTAAAGAAGTTTAACTTTATCTAAAGCTGTAAAGAAGAATACAAAAGAAAAAATTCAGTGAGTGAGACTCACCCTTCTCATGATAGCAATTGCTTCTGTTGAAAGAAACCTTGGATAACGAACTTCATCATTTACAATGGAATCAAAGACTTCTTCTTCATCATCTCCAGGAAATGGAGACTAAAGCGGTAACATAAAACAAGAACAATGTTAGAATGAAAAGTGTATTGGGAGTATGTTACCGTTTATGGTTACTCGTTTAGCTCGCACTTCTAACATTTGAGACTGTGGATGAGATCCTCTAGTGTGACCATTTAAATGAAACCTCTTTAGCAGTACTTTTAGATGCTGTTATTTGTTTAGTATGCAGTTCGAACAGTGTTACCATTCAAACGAAACCTTTTCAGCAACACTTTTATGGTGGTGTTTATTTTAACGGTAAAAGTAATTAGGTATCTTTTGACTTAGTCAGTAGATCACTCACTCACCTCTCCTACTAGCATTTCAAATATAAGGACACCCAGTCCCCACCAGTCCACAGCACGTGTATAGGACGTCTCTGTTAAAACCTACCAACCCATTAGAAACCGATTAGAACAAATGCAGCATTTCAAAGACGCCGTATTGCTAAACTGCTCATTGGGAGTAAAAAATTGATAACAGAGCATTTTAACTGAACTGAAAGCAGCGCACCAGTGGCACAAGAAGAACTACTGTTCAAATCTACGTTAAGTGTAACACTCAAGTAATTCCCCTTTCCACCTCTCACCCCACCCCCCCAAAAAACCAGAACTTTAAAAGCTAACATTAAACGGTTGCACTCCCCACCGAAGCGCTCATTAAACCAAAAAAGTTAAACGCTCATCAGGTTAGCTAGCTTACTTCTCTTCAGAAGCGATTAATATCTGGGGTACCACAGGTAAACCAACAATTACTAATCTGGCCCAGGAGAGCTCCCGTCTGGCCCTGTTGTTAAAAATGTGGATAGTGCCACCCACTGGATAACTCTCTGTCCTGTGGATAATAGAATTGGTTTCGCGAATACTATATCCACTGAATATCATTTTATCGGGTGGATAACAAAATCCAGATTCTGGCTTACCACAAAAGATCCAGGTTGGCTGTTGGTGCTGCATTTTAAACAAAATACAAGCATGCATAGCTGCCCTATAGTTACTAACCTCTGGTGCTAAAAACTCCGGTGTACCACAGAAGGTCCCCGTTCTTGCTCCATAACCCATTCCTTCTTTACACAGGCCAAAGTCGGCAATCTTGACATAACCCTCAGAATCCAACAGTAAATTGTCAAGCTTTAAATCCCTGAAAAAGAGACCAAAACAAGGAATTTAACTTTTGAAAACACAGAGAGTTGTCCTGTTAACACTTGGATAATTTCAAGGAGCAAATGAAGACAAACAACTAAAAATGTTTTGGGGCTTTTAGTAGAAAATTGCTGAATTATTTGCACTACTTGTTAATTTGTGTCTCTTAGGCTATACCTCGTTTACCTGAAAACAAATTTTCTTAGTAAATAATGCGCAGTTTCAGTGTTGTATTGTACATGGAACAATTTTTTCATAGCAATTCACGGCTGAGACTGACATATAGCTAAGCTGGTAGCAAGGGGAGGGGTAGGGGAGAGGCGAAAAATGCCCCACCCCACCCCACCCATTAACTGGCTAAGAGGCCATCAGTACAAGAAGAGGTCTCAAATGGCACTGAGGGAATAGAGGAATGTAACTGCACAAATAATGATGATTTGGAAAAGAAAATGTGTTGATATACACACGTCAAATTTATAATATATCAAAGTACTTGCCTGTAAACGATTTCATGTTCATGAAGATACTGCAGACCTAACACCACACATGATGTGTAAAATCTAAAAGGAGGATAAGAAAATTGAAGTGTAAATTGGCGATGTTTGTTCAGATTTTTTACTGTAATTATTAATTTTATTAAAAATTAATACCAAGGCAATGTGTCTGGTAGTTTTGCTACAATGTCAACTTTAGTTAATGTACATAATTCAAATCTACAAGCAAATTCAGCTAAAAAATTCGGTTCATTTGTCTGTGCTCACAGTGCTTTTGTGGAAAAAAAAAGAAAGGAAAGAGAGAAAAAAGAAACGAGCTGAAAAGTGCTGAAAGAAACAACTAGTGACTTTCAAGCAACTTAAAACATGTGCTACTCATGTGAATGTTCACTTACACTGTCCTAGGTTCTGAGAAGACATCTGCATGTATGTGCATCATAAGATCACCACCAGGAGCATACTCCATTACAAAACACACATGTTCCTACAACAACACCAAGAAATCATACTAAGTTACACATTGACCCTTTCAAGTGCAATGACTCTGAGAGATTGCAGAAAATTAATTCAGTGCTTCAAAGAATATGTACAGTATGTAACCAATGTGCTACTTGGTTATTCTTTTTCTATTCAATGAGAGGCAAATAAGAATGAGGTATTTTTTCTGCAACCCTAAGCCTTGGTGTCACATGTGCTTTTTTATATTACTTTAAAGGGGCTATGTAAAGCCATGTCACGCCATATCACGCTATTTGCTATTTAAAACAAGGCTTTTCATCAATTAAATTCCAAAAATAATGGTCCAGTTCAACCTCGTTCCCAGGTTCTCTCTTTCTCACTCTGCAGGGACGGGTAGGAGAGAACACGGGGAACGATGCTAAGTCCAGTTTTGTTATTTAAGACTACATTCAAGCATTGACACTGTTTCCAGTCATTTATTGCTACAGATAGCAAGGAAGAAGATGGACTAAAACCTGAAAACGTTGGGACATCTTTTTCAAGTTTTAATGCTCTGCCTGCGAAATCTCTAAAAAAATATTTTGGTTAGTGCTCTTTGATGAAATTTGTTTGACATCTTCTTTATAACTCTACAAGAGCATTTTGTGGTTGGGTAAAGGCTCTACTAAGTAATGACTTCAGCACAGTATTGACCTAAAACAGTAATACAATATCCTCGTGACATAGCCTCTTTAATTGCACCACATGAGGGCTAGCTACAAGAAAAAATGGTATTATGGTGATCTCCACTCTATCACATCCTATTTTTATGGCGAAATTCATTTATTTTCAAGGATTCCTGGACAAGTCCGTCACAACATTCCAGGGCTTTTTAGAGATAGCAGAAACTGAAATCCTTTGAAAAGAAAGTAGCTCATTAGTTTAAACAAGACACCAGTCTGCAAAATCTTACCCGTGTTTGGAAGCAAGCAAATAAGTTAACAAGGAATGGATGTCTCATCTTGTTTGCTGTTAAAAATATTCTTTTCTCAGACAAAAGACTGTGAAAATAGAAATAACGAAAAAAAAAATCAAAACTAGCAAAAACTCTTACCACTGATTAACTAAACTGACTATCATAAACCAATTTAATAATCTGATAATGATAGCAAACAGCTCATGAGTTATCATAGCAGACTGGGCAGGAATCTAGGATAAATACTGGGTTAAGGATAAGGATATCATAATCTACCTTTCAACTTCTTCTCTTGAAATAATATCACCCTTTTTCAATGCCTTGATGGCAAACAGCTCGTTAGTGTTTCTGTATTCAGCTAAAATCACCTAGAACAACAACAAAAAAAACATGTCCATTTTCTTACTCAGATCTCTTGCTGTCAAGAAATTTGGGTATGAGATTACACACCCCTTCATCACCCAAAAATAATCCAGTTAGAGTATGTCCAAGTAATTAGCTTTGAAGTTAAAAAAAAAAAAAAAGAAATGCTGCTTTTTCATTGAATTTGATCTTCAAGTGGCAATTTGATATTATTTTATCGGGTTTAAGCTGCTCAATAATATAAATGTCACAAAACAATAATATACAGCAAATCAAAAAAATTGATCATCATTATTATTTATCAATATATGACAGTTTGCAAATTTTACCTTCCCAAAATGCCCTCTGCCTAATACACTGACGCAACGAAAGCTATCAATGTTCATGTGGCTTGTTGAACTCGTAGGAGGAGATGGAGGTCTAAAACAATAATGAATCCAAATATGAGTTAACAAATACTATCCTAAAAAACCAAAGAAATGACTGTCATCATTCTGTAATTCAAGCTTACTTTCTTCTAACAGGAGGTGTTGGTCTTGGTGGAGAAGGCTGAAGTTCTTGTCTTTGAGGACTATCAAGGAAACCAAACGCTGAAAGAGCATCCTAGAAAAATAAATCACAAATTTCAGTTAACCAACACTGATCTAAACTGTCATAAACACAGCTGTCACTTCATTTTGATTAAAGAAGGAGAGGAACTGGGATTTGAAGTCAATGTATTGCATTATTTTACTACCAAAAAGGCGAGGAAAGAAAGGAAAATTTACAGTTTCCAGCCACTGATAAAAGACCTGACTTAAGCAAAAGCCTTGGTTTAATAATAAACTGTCCAGATTGCCTTGATTACATCCATGTTGTCTCACAATGTGCTCCAGCAATTGAGCTGAACCAGGATCATATGGAAACACCTCAGGTGCATTGAAGGATGATCTGAACAACAGAGGCAATATCAATCTAGACTTGTGTAGATTCATCTATCCAGTAAATCTAAACTATGAGCAAATTTTTTAACTTAAAATTCAGATAATATTGAGAACTAATCGTCGCACGTTATGCGGCGGACAAGACACCTGCCAGCGCAGTTCAAGTGAACAAGGTTTCAGTTGAGGTCGAAAGCTTTTATAACTTTTCAAAATTACTGGCAAGTGTAAAATTTTGATCATAATATTGATCTACATTATAGACTGGTTTCTACCAGTGTATTAAGCAAATGAAACCTCTTGCCCGTAACAATTGCAAAAACAAAAAAAAGCCAAAACATTTTCTGGATGCTCCAGGTGATTGAGAAGATGTTGCCAATTATGTGGAACCCACTGAGGAGGAATATGATCATCTGGGCAAGTGTAGTCTTGAATAGGACTGAAGTTGACGGTAGCTGACATTTTGACAACCAGTGAGATCTTCAGTGTCTGAAGATGACTACTGTACAGGTAGTCAAAACATCAGTCACTATCAACAACAGTCATATTCAGGACTACACTTGCCAAAACGATCATATTCCACCTAATTAAAAGAGGAGAATTACCTGAACTTCATTTTCATTGACTGTTTTCTTCGGACTCGTACCAGCCGGAACACCACTGTTATTTGTAGTCTTCTGGTTTTTACTAGGGGTAGTACTATTAAAATCAGGTTGTCTAGGAGGTGTTTGTGTTCTTTGTTGAGTGCTAGAAAACACATCAAAAAATCAATGTTACACAAAGTTTCTTTCTCTTTCTATTTAGTGTTCCCTTCACATACAATACTTGCTAGTTATGGATGGAACTAGCCTGCGAACGGCAGAGGTTTCTCCTCTCTCATCGCCGCTGAGGGACATTTCGCGAGGAGGAACGTCTGCGACTCAGCGACAGAAATTCCATACTGCTGACATAAATCAATGTTTACATAATAAATCCGGTAGTCATGGGGCTCCAAATTCAAATTTGTTCAATTTTACGTTTCTCCTAGTCGATTTTGGTAAAAGCGTTGTATGCATCTGCGAGTGAGCTCCAGCAAAACTGAAATCCTTCTAGCTAGAGAAGACTATAATCCACAAGTATTGGCTGTTTTGTTAGAGATTCATCGGGTTTACATTTGACCTTTGCGGCCTTTTGTCTTTTGTCTGTCATTCGTAAACAATACCTAAAACAATGAAACTACTCTGTCGACCAATTAGTGCTTCTGACCAGATTTCGGACAGATTTTACGTCATCAGTATGGAATTTATGTTGCTGAGTCGCAGACGTTCCTCCTCGCAAAACGTCCCTCAGCGGCGATGAGCGAGGAGAAATGTCTGCTGTCTGCAGGCTAGGATAGAACCTACATGTGTCTTTTATGCCATGTTTTCTTTTTTCTTTCTGTAACAGTTGTTTGTTTTTGCTTGTTCTGTAGATGTGTGAGTGTGTGCGTGAATGCAGCTAAACTTTTAGACCTGATCTTATTCTTGAATAAAAGTTGAAATCCAGTAAATAAGGACCTTATGTCCTCAGGACAAGCAGGTCTCAAATTTGCTTGCATGCTGTTTCACCTTTTTCTTAGTTCTTGAAAAAGTTAGAAGATGCCTTCTCTGGGCCCTTGACCAGTGGGTATTAGCAAGCTTTTAGCCAGGTGGCCATCCACTGGACGGCCATTTTTTGGGAGAAAATAATATAATAATAATCTTGTTGATTCTCAGTCAGTGATATCATGATATGTAAAAAAAATACTTGATTCCTTTAAGATACTGGAGAAACTTCACACACAACCTCACCACCACCTTATTTCTACTTTACTTTGCTGAGGTTCCTTCATACTCCAATATTGGGCTATTTTTTCCCATTTATATCAATGTAGAGCATGGTGCGCATTAAAGGACTGATTTCATGGAAAGGAACCTCATGTAGCCAGGAAGAAGCTTTCCTACTGGGGAGTGCTTGTTGATGGCTACATGAAGTAGTAACTTGTGTAAACGACATGTGTTCAGAATCATACTTTTCCTAATGGCTGGAAATATGTCTGCATAGCTAGAACAGGCACAACTTTAACATCAAAAGGAAGCCAAATGCAATAACACATTTTCATTTTCCATCCTATATCAGTCCGCTTTTGTCGTTACAAAAATAATTCCCAGCCACCCTCCCACAGTCCAATCCCTACACATTGTTTCCAGTTTTCAACTTCCCCCAAGATGGCTGCCAAAGATTGACGTCAGACAAACAAAATTATAAACGTCAAGCTTGGAAGTGGTTTAACACAACTGATGCATTTAGTATGGCCAGCAGGTACAAATTCAGTCCATTTTAGGTTTTTGCCAAGAAAAGACACATTTAACATTTACCGTAACTCTGAATTGTCCAATCAATAAGTTTATCAGCTGAAAATCGCAGAAAATGCACCTAGGAAGGCTAATATTTTCAATATTTTTTGGGGGGGGGGGAATTCCTTCAGACCCCCCCCCCCCCATCCCTAGTGGAATGGGGCCATATCAATTTGTGGACGGCCACTTGGCAATTCCTGGCTAAAAGCTTTTAAATACAATGTCATGTCAAAAGAACTGAAATTATCATCACAGGGCTGTCACTAAGAGCCAAGGGGCCAGAGATTTCCCCAGCTTCTGCGAAGACAACCCCCAACTACGTTGAGAGGAAACAAAAGGGAAATAAAAGATACTAGAACTTCAAAGCTGTTTAATTTCCTGCCTACTAATTGAATATACCCAGCAACTTGAAATCTCAGTGACGGCCCTGCATCATGATCATTTTTACAACAGACCTGCATTACTACATGTAGAAGGTAAACTTGCCTTGGATATTGAGGTGTAGAGTTAGGACTTAGAGTTGTGTTTTCTGTTGCACAGTTTGGTGGAGCTGCTCTCTTTAGTAATCTGGCCCAAGTGGCAACATTTGTGTTCATTTGTCCAGCACGAAGAAAATTTTTTCCTGAAAATCAATCATTCTTGAATTACCCCCAAAAATTTTGCATGAGCATTGTTTTCGCTTTCCCTTGGGATAACTGTCAGATCCAGGAGAAATTGGTAGCAATGCTTATGCAAAATTTGAGGGTAAACAAGTTCTATTATGGGTAAAGCGAAAGTGGTCAATGCCAGAAAAATTAAACAGTGAGCTACATGAACAGAAGACAAAACAAAGTCGTCATAGGCCATTTCAAAATTTCAAAACCCTTCACATTTAACCCTTTAGGCCTCCAATCACCATTTTGGAAACAAAAAGGTAACTGGGCGGAGTTAAATAAATAAATAAATAAAAAAAGTTGATAAATTTTTAAATTATTTTTATATGGCCCAGCTTGCCACGAGTCCTTTGCAGCTCAGTGGTTAGAACACCTGACCAGAGTACGGAAGGTCATAGGCTCAATTCCACTCAGATTTTGTCTTTGTCCCATGCTCCTGACATGTTGATTACATCATTTCTCATGGGCTGAGTTAACTTAACAAAAGACTTCTGAAACTGTTTTTGATATTGGGGACAGGGAAAACAAATAGGCAAATAGCTGAATAGCACATTCCCAGTAACGATCCCAGACGTCTTTGGCTTGTGAAAGCTTACTTGGTCCAGTTTCCTTCTTGTTTTTAAAGTGGCGAATATCCTCATACAAAGTGGCGAATATCCTCATACAATGTGGCGAATATCATCATACAAATTGTGTAAAATGATATCATATATTTCCTTCAAGAATTAGTTGGAAGAATTTAACTAAAGATCAAGGCATTTTCTTGTAGGCGAATATCCTCATACAAAGTGGCAAATATCTTCATACAAAGTGGCAAATATCCTCATACAAAGTGGCGAATATCCTCATACAAATTGTGTAAAATGATATCATATATTTCCTTCAAGAATTAGTTGGAAGAATTTAACTAAAGATCAAGGCATTTTCTTGTACGCGAATATCCTCATACAAAGTGGCGAATATCTTCATACAAAGTGGCAAATATCCTCATACAAAGTGGCGAATATCATCATACAAATTGTGTAAAATGATATCATATATTTCCTTCAAGAATTAGTTGGAAGAATTTAACTAAAGATCAAGGCATTTTCTTGTAGGTGATCATCTGATTAATTCTCATAAACTTTTCTTTTGATTATGTATTATTAATGTAGGGAGAAAAGTGATGTTGATAACTTTTGGAATTAAAGGGCTAAGAAGAGGTCAAGTGTAAAACTTTTTGTTTGAAAATTAGAGGAAGTTTCTTTTGAATGAGAATAGAAATTTAATTTTTTTACTCTCCCCTTCCCAATTTGTTCCCAAGATGATCAAGCGGAACAAAAAAGGTAAGTAAATATATCATTTTAAGGTGGCATACGTGTGTTAATTAGACAACCGCTTTCAAATTCTACAGTTTCCTTTCATGCTTGCATCAGTGGCCAATAAAATAAATTATTCAAAATAACCCTGTAGCTTGGGATAAGGGACATGTTCATAGCATGAAACAGCAGCGTGCAAGGAAAGTAGTGTCCGATAGCCCAGGGCTAGTGGATTGTGATACCAGGATAGTGAATTCTGTTTTTAACTTGCCCGATGGGCAAGTGAAGTATTAACTTACAGAGGAACCGTGAAATCAATTCTGCTCATCAAAAAATTTTGGGGGCTAGTTGAAATGATGTTTGGGCTAGTAAATGCTAGCTTCAGCTTGCCCGAATGGCAAGATGTAAAAATGACTTTCTTTGCACCCTGAACAGTACACTTGAATCTATGATCCACAGTGAATAAAACAATAACACCATTTTGTAAATATTATAATCTGCTGTTCCCTCACTTGATAGATTCACCTTGATTTCTTAATACAATTTCAATAAGACAATCTTCTACTACTCTAGAAAATGCCGTAACTCCAAGATAATTTACATATAATGCAAATCATAACATTTTATCACCATGTATATTGTCTAGTGAACTTAGATCAGGAAGCTACACATATTTATTCAACATCTTGATTGAAATTTACTATAGCAAAAAGATGGGAGAGAGTTGAAAATTCATCACCACATTCTTATTGACCATAGATATCACTAAAACAACATTAACAGCACCAGTGCTAGGATTGCTATTGTCAGTTTAGAAACTAAATCTCTCACCTTTTTGAATGTGAAATAGCTTCTTTTGTCGCTGTAGCCTTGGTTTCTTTGTCACCATGGGATTTAGAAATGTCACCTGATTAACACATTTGAAAGGAAACACAAACATAGCACAGCTTAGAAGCATTCTTGACAAAAACGCAGGATATGGATAAGCTCCATACAACAAGCCTTTAGTTTTTCCTTTCAAAATATAAAATATTTATAACTATGATTCAACAGGTGGTTGTCTGAAAACATGCTATATTCTTCACCACACAAAGACAAAAACTGTGGAAATATAACAACACAGCGAAATCATGATAAGTAGAAATTTCCTTCTCAACTGATGATTATAATTCAGTGCAAAGAGTTGAGGAAATTTCACTGTGGGAATAGCACAAAAAGTTCATCTAGCACGTTTCATCTGAGAAAATATCACTTTACATAGTCCATCTCTAAAGTGAACTAGAGAAAAATAATAATGATTTCTTGCCATGGGTGGAAGTAAATTTCACTGAAAATAAGTGTGTGTGATTATAACAGTCTGCAGTCTACTGGCAGCATTTGGAATTATGAAAATATAAAACCTTCTCATACAGAAACATTAACATTTTTGTTTAATAAAAAAAGAAACATTCAGAAACAGACTGTCTGTGCTGACAAGGGTTAATTAAAATGCTTCAGCAAATGAACTGAAATGAAATGAAAAAAACTTGCAACAACAGCTGCTTGGCTAAAATGTTGACATTTACGTTTGTTTTTGTGAGAATACATGCACACCTTTAAAATCAATGGTTTTAGCCAAAAAAAAGAAAAATACAAAAAACTGGCACTGGCCAAATTTTCAACAAAAAGTAGCTTACAATCAATTGATAAAAATGAAACAAAATAATGGCATACACTTGAAAGCGTTCAATTTTCAACAAAAGAAATGATTTAGTGGAAATGTACTGTAGACAAATAGATTTTGTCGCATTTCTAATTTACTGCAGCATTAATTCGAGCTATAAAAAAAAAAACAGCTTCAAGTAAAAATTCAAATTAAAAAAATAATAATATAAAACAGTTTCTTCTACAGCAACACTGACATGAAATTATTACATAATTATTCATTTTGATCATGACTGCACTTGACATATGAGAACTACAAAATATTATTATTATGCTTCTTTGCCTTTCCTATGAATTCAAAAGCTGATCATGCTGAATTAGTTTGATTGAGTAAAGCATGTGGTCATATTTCTATAAAATAACAATAATTTCCCATGCTGAGAAAAGGGGATATTCAAAAATAAATTGGAAGTAAAACTAAGTAATGAATAAATATAACTCAGAATGCGTCACATAACACAGATAAAAAAAATTCTCTATCAGGAATCAATGTTTGGAGCTGTCATGAAAAAACCAATAAAGCAGCAACTGACTAAGTTTAACAGAAGAAGGTTCCCTGGGGGAAAGGATTATTGCTCTAAAAACTAAATTTAATTCTAAAAAATTGCAGGATGCCAAAAAGATCTGATTCTGCCTGTTATGGGCCAATATTTTGAATAAATTAAACCTGGCATGAGTAATGCAAGGAAAATGGAATAGAAAACAATAGACACCTTTTCATAAAGGAGGTAAGAAATTCTCTTTATCTTCCAAGCCATCACCCGACATCTCTTGAGTGCAGGGATTCTAAATTGCCCATTCCAGTCTTGGGTGCGAACACAAAATTTGTCCATGAATAAAGAGAAAACAACAGGCTTTTCAGCAGCAGATGGTTTTTCATGAATGCAGCTATCTACTTCGTCTGTTGAAATTTTTTCTTGTCTAGGGCCCAAGGGAGCTTTTTTCCGGCTTGATCCTTTTTTCCTATCCCCATGTCTATAGTTCCTGTTTATCCTTGGCTTAACATAAGCAGCATTTCTCTGTAATTCTCGTCTTGGCTTTTTAGTTTTCATAGCTTTGTAACTTCGCTCACTACAGCTGCTGCTAATTGAGGTAGTTGTCTTTGATCGCTGGTGCCCTCGTTCAGAAGAATCTGACCCTTTCCTCAGAAATCTGTTAGACTCACGACTTGGTGTCCTATCCAAAGTTTTTCCCACAGATAATTGATTTTTCGGATTTGTAACAATTTTCATTGGCAAACGGCTTGAAAGTCCATTTTCTAAGACAGCACTTCGGGGTCTATTCTGAACAGTTTTTCTTGCTTTAAATTTTTCAGGAGATCCTATATCTATGTCTTTTATGATTGTTCTAAAGTTTGGAGTGCTGTTTTCCAATACTGAGCTTTTGGGCCGTGGAGTGGTTGTTATGGTTAGCATATTTTCACTTTTTGTTCTTGATCGAGATTTAGCATAATTTTCCATGGCTGCACTTTTTGGGCGAGTCTTTAAATTTTTGTTTACTGCATCTGCACTATGACTCATCTGATTTCTCAGTCTTGGAAGCGTTGAGCTCTTCCTTGCAGAGCTGCAACAACCAATTTGTTCAAGTGATGAGGCTTTACTTCCATCAGTAAAAGAAACTCCCTGAGATCTTCTTTTCGGTGAACTTGGAGATCGTCTACCATTAAGACACATTTCATCGAGTGTGTTTATTATTCTCTCAACAGACTGTTTTCTTCCTTTGTGTTTCGGGGACCCCTGTGTTGGAGAGGCAGATTGTGAGGGAAATTTATCAGAGCTCTTCACATAGATTCCACTATCATTTGGTGTGTATTTCCCTGTTCTAAATGGTGGTGGTGAACCCAAACAAGACACCATTTTGTTTGAGCTTTCCTTTGGTTTTGAAGACAAAGCAGTAGTTTTCTCATTTTGAAGGCATGAGCTACAAGAATACACATTATCTTTGGGAATATATTTTCCAGCACGAAAGGGTGGCAGCTTTTTGTTTTCTTCAGAATATTTAGCCGCATATTCAGCCGGCCGATAGCTTTTTCTGCTCATAATATCATCCTCATTAGTATTCACACAGATGTTTCCCTTTTTTGAGGATTTGCATTCTATTTTATCCGTAGATTTCTCACACTCCCCCAATTTCACACTTCCATACTCCTGTTTAGACAATTCCTTGCTCCACTGCTCATAAATTTTCTCAATATTCTTGCTGGTGATTCCAAGCCTTGTCTGATATTGGAAGCCATTTTGCTTGATGGTCACTGCTCCTCTATCCTCACTAACATTCATGGCACACATAATCTGAATTTCAATCAGTCTTAATTATTTTCTTCCATACATGGCTTTTGGTTGAGTCTCTTTCTCACCTTTCAAATTAGTGAATAATGCATTTTATGGGAAATAGTACATTTATCAACAGACAATTCAACAGGAAGCTTTTCAGTACAGGCTCTCCCTTGATGTGCCAGAGGCCAAAACATTACAGTTCATCCCAATCACTGGCATTAATCCATCTTTGTCTGCTTGAAAACAAAAAAAGGAGCTATATCTGTGTTGAATTCACCTGCATGGCTTAGCTGATCAAAGATCAGGACATAACCTGACACAAACAGATCCCTCAGACTCAGTAATAAGACTGTAAGCACAGAAAAGATCATGAATAAACATCACAAAGACCATCACAGTAGCCATGGAAGCAGGGGAGACAATTTAAATGGGTTTTGCCACATTCACAAGCCAATGAAGCCATGGGATTCACAGTGGATTCACTCGGTACCTTCTTAATTGCTTCTGAGTATTTTTCATCATGTTACCAGCCAATAACAGTTGTTCACCTGCCAAGACCTGCCTCATAGTAAGAATTGATTGGTCCCAGAAGCAAACAAAAAAATAAATATTATAAAAGAAGCACCTGTCATGTCTGCAAAGTATGTAAATCTCTTGTGAAACACAAATCACTAACAGTATAAACAACACGCTTCTTAGCAAGAAAGCCCATACTTTATCTCTGTGGTCTTAGAGTGATAACAGTTAAATATTCAGGGTGTCAAAAGTAAATTGAAAGATTATGAATTTGATTTTGTAAAAAAAAAGGAAATTTGGTTTTCACATGTACAGTGTATGAGTGTAGGGTTTCAAGTCAAAAGCCCAAGATTAATTAAGTTCACAATAAAGCTCCCATTTCTAAACATACTGCTTCTTATTTTCTCTTCACATTTCATTTAACCCAGTCATATGAAATCACAGAGCATAAAATGTATGCAAATTTGCTCAAACAGATCTGTCAGAAGATGAAAATAATAATTATTACAATATGGATAATACTTGGCTGAAAATATTTTTCTAAAGAAAACTTACATTCATGAAATACATTGTTCACAAATTTTAATGCAAAATATATTTTTCATCAAGAATTTATGGCCATTAATCAGAAAAATAAATATGCTGTGAAAATGCTGTTTCAGGAAGACTTGACACAGAGATTGCCAAGTGTTGTTCATGGACCAGTTAACAAAAACCTTAAACCAATGAAGCATTTCAAAACAAGGCAACATCCCCTTACATAAAATGTTACAGAACTTATTTTACAAGTTTTAAAAATAAGTGGGTGATAATTCATGGTTATATGAACATGAAAACAGGATTAAAAATGGACTGTTGTACTACAAGTTTTATTAACTTTTTTAGACCTTACACAGAGTATAAGTAATCAAACAACGATGTAAAATGGAAAGAGGTATTGAATTTCCTTAGGGTTAATGAATTATTGAAGAAGGAAATGAATATAATGTACATTAATACTGGAAACAGCAAAGCATGACTACTGTATACCAGTTGTTCACCCTAATAAACCCTTTAAGAAGGAAAAAAATATTTCTAATGAATAAGATCTACGAGTAATTTTTCCTGGGTTAAGTATGAGAGAGAAACTCAGGGCATTTAAGATACATTTTGAAAAACAGATAGAAAACATCTGCCTACACAGCACACTGGCATCACAACTTTTAATACCAAAGAGAACGAAAAATACAAATTTTAGCCTTCATAAATCTTGAGATTTTGTGCACAATAGGCAACAGGGCAGGGATTGGTTTCAGCAATGGTTAGAAAAAATAACAGTTCAATTTCTTCCATTTGTTTATGTTAAAGCTTGGAAAAATTAAATAAGCTTAAAAATCAACTAGAAAAACAAAATTAGAAGGATTAAATATATAAGAAGATCACACTCCCTTGGTCAGACAAACATAATGTTCATGTTTCTTTACCTCACATCTTTCCTCTGTAGATTTTAGAAATGAATTATTGAAATAAATGTTGGTTGTCAGACTCAATGTAATCACTGATTTAGTTTCATAAAACAATAACAATAATATGGAATGCGCATCTTTAAATCCTTAACCTCGACAGTTGGTAACAAAAACAGAATACTAAATTCAAATTTTGTTGCTATAAAAAATGGGCTACGTAGATACAAACTAACATTAATCTGACAAAAAGTGTCCAAAGGGCAGAGAATAATGCTAACTAGATTCTCCCAATGTTATCTTTTTGTCTAGTGAAGTATTTATTACTCCAAAAAGTATGCATGAGAAATGGTGGTTTCGTACAGAAGCACAAAACATACTGCCACTTAAAGTATTACAATAACACCTTAAAAGGTCAGTAAAACACATGAGTGAATAATAATACATGTACAACTACATGTAAAATGTAAAGCAACAGTAAATCAGTGTACAAATAATGAATTTAAATTGACACATACATTAAATGTCTAATTTTTAGTGTTTGATATTACAGAACTGGCTGACAGAGGGTGCTCTGAGTAACGCTCTTTAGTAGCCTGCTTACAGAACAAAAACTAAATGCGTGGTAGCTTGGGTCATGGGTCGGGTCTGTGCAACTGGAATGTACCATTCCATTGGGCATGTGAAATTTCCAAACTTTAAAACCAGAATTAGTAGATATTATTTTTGAGATCTTTGCCAAAGTAAAATTTATTTTGTGCATTCTGCTAAAAGAAATAAATTAAACCTTTCATTCCTAACAGTGGCCAAACTCAAATTCTCTGTCTAAAATCCTAAGAGGTACAATGCAAAAACTGAACTAAGAACATTTCGTTCTTATGGTAACACCATAGGATTTCCTTCATAAATTCAAAAGTTAGCCCTGCTGCAAACGGTAGTTTGATTGGGTATTTCTTTTCTCTATGGGAATTATTGACTCTCTAGATCTGGCAAAATAAAGAAATGGAATTTTTTTTGACAAAGTGGTAATCAGCTCATTATAAAGGATTATTGCATACAAACAGGAAAAAACAATCATTAAAGTAAGAATAGAAATATAAAGCAGTCAAACCTCAGCAAACAGGCAGCCCTGTGGCTCAAGAGGGACTTGAATTTGATGTCGCTGGTTATCCAGAAACTCTTCTAATCTAAGGAATGCTACTCCACAGAGAGATCGGTGATCTCGCCAATATACTCCTACTTCCAGTTCTCTTGACTGCAATATAAGATAAGAAAGAAACTTAGCTGTACAGGTAGGCTAGACTATAAAATGTTGAAAAATAAAAAAGACATTCATTCATTCATTCCTGAAGTAGTCAAAGTTGTGCATGTCGGTCTTTTTTTCTCTTCACTACGTAAAAAAATTAAGGCTTAATCTTACTAAGGTTGAATGAAAAGTGGGCTAAAAAACATTTTTTCAGGGCAAATGTTAGCCTTTTCACAAAAAAGCCTCTAAACTACCTGCATAGATTTACTTTGGACTTCAATCACTGCACTTTTTAACAGGATATAATGGAAGAAGATAGAACTCTACTGTTCACATGCTTCAAAGTGGAACCACTAACAACCGTAAGGTTGATCTCAAATGGAATATGGAGGGAGCCTATCCCAAATCCACCTGGATTATAAGGCAGAATTCAGGAATCTTAACTGGGAGTAAGCATCATAGGCTTACACATGACTGACAGGAATGGAGGAAACTTGTTGATACCAAATGCGCTACTTGGCATTTGAAGAATTGATGATGATGATGATAACTGATAATGATGACCTAAATTGATTAAGGCCGAATTTTGCTTTATAGCCCTAATTATTCAATTAATTACATCAGAGGAGCAGCACCCCAATGTCGCTAGGGACAACGATGCTTTGTACTGTTGGATTGTAACTATTTCATTTGGATCTAGAGTGGATATAGACATTAAGAACTAACTTTTGTTCTGTTCTGTGGACCATACTGTGCTATTGTTGTCATTTTTTTTAACAAATTAAAGAAAAAGAAAAAAATACTAAGTACTAGCTACCAATCCTCACAAATGAAAATTTTGCAGATAAGTGCCACATTGACAAACTGAAAAAAGGAATAAACACCACAGTGCCATTTAAAATAAAAACTCAAACCCATTAATCTAAACTTGTAATACCTTGTCCAAGTCAATATGAAACTGTTGAGACCAACATTCTGTTCCTAAAGGTTTCCACATACTTTGTCCAACATAGCAGTTGTCCAACTTGAGAACAGCACACACCTCAACTAAAAATCCACAACAAAAGGAAGAATGTACGTTTTATTTAATGAAAAATAAGTTGGAATAAAAACCCCCTTCCATGCTTTGGATGAACCATAATGTGTGGTGGAAGAAACAACAACAAACATGTTTATTATAAGTGTTGGAGTAGGAGGTTCCATGCTGGCCCCTCCACCAATGGAGGTAAACGCTTGGGTGTGTGTGTGTGTGGGGGGGGGGGGGGGGGGGGCACTTGCAGGGTTGCCATGGATACCTCCCTCATGCTAAAGCATTGCCTGGCTCTACCAACCTTGTAGGCACCAGCACCCAAGCTCATCTATTGGTAATACATTAAAATGTGACTAAATGTAATTTAGGCAAAATTAACTTTCGACCAATACTGGTCAGCAGTTTTTCGAACTATGCTGGGGGCGGCCTGATGCCTCTAGCAAGGGCATCTTATGACTTGTATACACAGTTAATTCCTTGCAGTTCTTCACAAAGTGTCTTTACTATAGCTTTCTTGCTTGCTTGCCATTTTTGTGCTTTTTTTTTCTCAACCCTCCCTCCCTATTTGTTTTAGGGATAGGTAAGTATTGGTTGGAACAGTTCAGTGTGATAGTGCCTGGTGAGGGCCGCTCACAGGGTTGCCATGGATACCTCCTTCCTTGTACAAGAGCACTGCGCGCATCCACCAGCCTTGTAGGCACCAGCGCCCACCTTAACTAGAAAAGGCAAATTAAACTCAGGTTCCAACACATTTGGGTCAGTGTGTACAATCCAACACTTCTATCCTTTTCCCAATATTTACCTCTTTTTTTCAGACTCAATGCTGAAATATAAATGACTAGTCCTAATAATATTCACATGGGTGTTAAATTCATTGGCTAAGATGTTAAGACAGCATATTTTATATTTACCCGATAAATTTTCTTCTGCATTCCACCTATTGTAGCCACTTTTTCTTTTGCTAGATCCTGTACGATCTCCAAGCTTTCCGTCTGGGCTCACCATTGCTAGACTTATAGTTTTCCTAGGATCTCGGTTAGGCACCACTGCTAAAAGTCTATCAGCACCAAGAATGTGAACCTGAATACAACAAATTTTACAGACATTTGTGTGGTGGGGGCAAGTTTGTAACCCCCACCTTACAAACGTTTACAGTATAATATTGCAACCTTGTGGACCAATAGCTTCACTTGCTTTTAACATACAGATATCAACTTTTTAAAGCGCTCTATCCACCAGCATCAAAGGATATTTGCTGACTGGTGTTTATCAAAACTTGAAAAAACCATGGAAGGATCCATTAAATTATCGCGTACACCAAATAGCATTGTTGTGAACGTTACTAAATGGTTTTTAGCCTTATCCCTTGGTATAGAATTATTTAAATTTAACAACTTGGTGGACTGAAAATAGAAAAATCACAGTACTGCCCATAGAGCCATAATTCTTAAGACCTTTTATTAGAACCGCCACAGTGGCATGGGCCTTCAAGCAAGAAGATAACTTTAGCATTGTCATAACACTTTAGATTTGTACTAAACAGTCATTAGATACTAAACAGATAAAAGTCTGCACAGAAATGTTGACATCTTGATCAAGTAACAAATGAGACACATGCATGTGTTAACATCCTTAGCTCATGCTTGTACGTAAGTTTATCCTTGCATTGTTTGCTTAAAAGACAAAATCTACTGAAGCTCTCAGTACTTACATATAACTCGCCAGTAAGAGCTGCTGGTTTTGTGATAGCTGTATACTGCTGTTTTCCTAAACCAACGGCCTTACGATCGGCGTAAGATGGTGGCGTAGTAATATAATCTTTGAAAATTCCTACAGCAGCTTGCTCAGGAGATAGTTCTCCCATAAGTCTCGTAAGTGAACACTGCAGTAAATCTAGCTTTTGACTCGACTCATGGAATCTTCTTTCAGCCTGAAAAAATGGAGATGACAATGAGGGAAAGAAAACATAATATTGTAGCCAGACAAAATCTGAGACCAATGACCCTTAATAAAAACAATGTCAAGGATTGACTAGAGTTCTAACAACATTGTAAGAAGACAATCAAACTACATGTACGGTACAGTCAAACCTCTTTAATACGGACACCAAAGGGACAGAACCAAGTGTCCCCTTTACAGAGGTGTCCGTATTATAGAGGTAGGGAATGTATGATTTTTGGCATTTCAGGGACCAAACAAACTGTCCGTAATAGAGAGGTGTCCGTATTATAAAGGTTTCCATAAGGAGAGGTTAGACTGTATTTGCTGCAATTGGTCAATTATGCACAAGGCAAGGCTATCATTGCTTGATGTTATTTAACCAACTCTTGATGCATGTGTGACAATATTGGCAGCACAACAGTTCACCAGAAAAAACACTCTTCCATGCTTCTCTTATTTTACTAGACACCCACAACAACCCCAACCCCAACCCCAACCCCAACAACACACTTTTCTCTTAAAGGTCATCATATTATTAAATGTACTGTTCACTGTTATATCCTGTGGCATATAGACCTGCAAAACAGCTGTGAAGTTAAGCATACAGTTTTTAACGGTTGTAACCGACAGTTTGTCTGTTTCTAGCCTGGCTGAGCTAGTAACCTTTTATTGTTTAGATAAGGCAATAAAACTGAAAATGTTTTTTTACATCGATGTGTGCTTGCCAAACCTACACAACTTTTCATTTATTGATCATCAAGATGATGGGTGTTGCCCACATTTTGCAAAATAGCTAACTACCTCCACATTGCCAGTTTTTATTCATTATCACCTTATAATCATCATTTGGCCCACTCGATTGGGATTCACAGAACAGTCTTATTCCACACATTCAAGTCCAGCATTGTGTTTGCAAGAGCCTCCAAGTCAACCCCAGAATCCCTCAAGATCATATCTGGGTATGTCAGTTTCTAATCTAATTACAGGGTAAGTGCCAAGAGGAAGCCAATACTGCACTTGTAAATTACACTTGTAAAAGTTTTGTTATAATGACATCAGGCCTTAAAGCTACAATCAGGGGCAAAAGTCTTGGGACACTTTTGCATTTGTGGGGCATTTTCCAATTCATACATGCCAGCCCCTCCTGTCACCCAACAAACAACGTTGGATGAGTGTATCCAGAATTTTCTCCAAGTTTCAAATTTGCACAGGACGGGGGGGGGAGGGAAAACTGCGAGAAACTTTCAAAAAGTATGCAATGCTTTTTTAGGGAACCAAGAAATTACAGAAGGTTATGAATACTGCATTACCGTTCCAAGGACTTTTGTCCCGGATTGTAGCTGCCAAGTGCTGCTAAGTTAAATTAAATGGCCTCTTTCCAAGATCATTACCAGGGCAATATTTTCCTTGCTTCCTGTAATAATTATTATTTACAATGAAAACAAATGTTGATGTTTCTGTTTTTCAGTCAATGCTTACCTCTACTAAACCTTTCTTGTCTTGACCAGCCTTGGACAAAAACTTGATCATGTTTTTTGCACCCTGTATAACTCTAGATTCAATTTCAATATGATGTCGAACATCCTCTATTCTTAATTCTAAAGGTGAAAGTCCCAAGCCTGGAGCGGCATTCTCTTTCCCTCCACCTGCTAAAACACCATCTTCCCTTCCTGTTGACATTTGCTGCTCTCTAAGTAATGCCATTCGAATAATTTCAATCTTTGTTTTTGAGTCCTCAAGCATTTGCTGAGCCTCAGCAATAAGTTTACTGTCTTTTTTCTTTGATCCACTTGCATTGTAAGTTGCTAACATATTTTCAGCACCTTGCTTGACTTTCATCTCTACAGCAATTTGCTTCTGTAATGATTCAATTTTACTATTTCCTGACGAGTCATTTGACACTCCATCTGTTCTGTCAGGAGAGAGTCCATCAGTGTTTTCAGCTGCAAAGCAAGGGGAAATATCAGTCACATAGATACAGGCAAAAAAAAACAGAGAAAGAGAGATTTCCACTGCAGCAGAAACACCAAAACCAAGTTACAGAGAGCATTGCATGACAGTCAAATCCCACTAACTTGGTTGCAAATGAACAAAACAAAGAGGGTTACTGTAGAACAAGGCATATATCTTACAGGTCAAATTTCCTACATAAAGTATGGCTTAGTGTAGCTTGGGATTTAGGGGAATTCATAAATAAAGAAAGAAAGAAAAAAGAAAAACAGACTACAGTAAGCCAAACTCAATGCTAGGTGCAGGGGAAATATCATATGTATTGCATGATGACAAAAAGTTTTAGTTTTATTGGTCAACTCACCACCACAGAGAGAGCAAAATGCTGGGGCTTTTACAGATTTGGGGATGTACATGTAGAATTCAAGACCTTCTCCAGACTTAAGACTATCAATTTAGGAATAGATAGAAACCTCGACAAATGTAGCAGCAAAAGCTTTTCCTCTGATGTACTGCAAACTTACAGTTACCCGGGTACAACACAGTCAGAGGAGAGTTAGCTTTAATCTGCACACTTTTTCCATGTCTGGAAAACTGGTTTGCAAATTTCAATACTTTTTCAAGAATTTGAGACTGAATAGTTGATATTTTGAGCACCACCAAAATAGAAAACAATAAGCAGTTTATCTTTTCTAAAAGAAAAGTCTACTGGAAGAGCATTCTTGCCATCTTTGGCCTTCACAGGGTTTTTACCAAGAGAAAAATATGAAACAAACTTACTAATCTCTTTGTGCAATATTGCAGAGACATTAGTTTGGGAAGTTTTCAGTTTTCCACGATATTTTTTCTTCTACCTTCATCACTACTTCTATACTACGGTAGCTGAGCGAATTCACAGGTCAAATATCCCATCATTAACACCAATTAAATTGTATCATTCAATAAAAACTACCTATCAAAATTTAGTGCAATTAGGTGATTAGCAATCAGTGATGATCAGTTGGTAAAATATCAGCCTTACTCTTTTTAAGAGCCTGCAAATAGCTTTTACTTTCTTTATCCACATGACTCATTTAAATTCCTAGAATTTAAGAAACGTGTGTATCACTTATGAATTCTGTATAATTCACCTTTTACACAATTAGTATCTCATCTTTATTGTATGTTCATCAAGTAATATATTTATAGTCAGCTTTGTTTTTGTAACTTATTAACGTCTTAAACTGTTACTGTGACTGTTTTTATACACTACAACTGATACTTATTTCATTGGTTTTCCTCCAGGTTTTATTTCATTTAAAACTACAGTACAGGTCCAGTAATGACTGTTTCTGTTAGAAGTGATGTAGAGAAATTTATTCAGAAAAAAATGACTTGAATATTGACATTATATTGGACTGCACTAGCTGCAGGCATCTAGCTGTCAGTTACACCTGTTAATGTAATGGAGTTGGAAGACCAGGTGCAAACAATTTTAATCCAAATTAGCTTAACAAGTTCAAGACGAACAATACAAGGTTATGTCTAAACTCTTGATCAATCAAACCAAAATTATTCATTAAAATTTTGTTAAACGTACATCAGCTTCTTTTGCTAAATAAGTCTTGCAGAAACAAATGGCTTAGAGCAACAAGGAAAGATTGATTAAACATTTGTTCAGTATAACTTGTACACATATTCTAGCAAAAAGAATATATCAATATAATTCCTGGATCGATCACAGTAGGGTAAAAGAACGCAGAGAAACACTCGCCACAGGCAGCGAAGTGCAAACAAAGGCTTTTCCTTACATCAAAATGTAAACAGTCCACCGTTGTTGTCACAAACACAAGCAAAAGGATTTAAATATTAGTTGACCTAAAGCATAGAGGAAGCAGCTTCGAGCCTTAACGATTCCTTGACTGACAAAAGAAATCCTTATAACCCAGCAGCAACTTTTGCTAATAGTTTAAAATATAAGGCGATATAAACATGACAAATTAGCAGTCCCGGAGGGTGACGATTTCAATATTTAAGAATGTGCGGCGATACGCACCATCTAGCATATTCGATTCGCTATCAAGCAATTAACTCGTGTATATACTTTTGTGTTTTTTTGAACGCTCCGAAACTCTCAACAGGTAAAATTTTAAAAAAGGTCAACTAATACTCAGTGCACATCATGTTTTAGAAAACGACAAGCTTCAATTTTAAGTACTCAAGCTAGTATTAACAAAGATCATTCTTGGGATAGTAAAAAAACAAGTTGTATACTTTGGTGAACAACGGATCGTTCGTGACTGAATGAGTACACTTTTACAAAAGAGGAGTAAATGCCAAGTGCAGGCAAACTCATAGCCATAAGTGATTATGGTAGCCAAGACCATTAATTAGAAAGAGTTTAACTTCACAGCTTGTTCTATCGCGATTAATAGCCTAGAGTTGCCGCACCACAAAATTATCGACTATTAGTGATGACGATAAAAAAGTTTGACAATCCAGTTTTAAGCCACTGACCTTAAACATCTACTAAAATGTACTTTGAAAGGTGCAATTAGTACCGATGAATCTAATCACATATAGTATACAGTGTCAACGGTACACTGAAAAAGTGAATATTTTCGATTCGAAAATCGACGAGCCGCTCATTAGCTGGGAATAAACTATACAATCGACTTGCACTTTTATCTTCAGTTATCACAAACAATACAGATACTTACAAGGCATATCCTCTGACACTCGAGCATTAAGGTCTTGAAGTTCATCATGCAGATCTTGAAGTTTTGCAGTTGCCTCTTTCAAAATCGTGTTACACTGTGCCAGAGTTTTCTTGTCAGTTGCTACTTTCTTCAGGTTTTCGGCGCCCTCTTTTAGTTTAAGCTGTTTGCGAATTTCAATTTTTATTGCCTCCTTGGACTGTTCGAGGTCTGTCTTTAAAAGAGTTTCAGAGCCAGCTCGTTGCATTTTAGAGTGGAGGTCATCGTTCCGACTTGATCGTCTTGTTCTACTTCCATCGTACTGCAAAGTATAAATTGAGCATCACTTAGCTTACACTGAACATTAAAGATATAGGATGAGCATTACTTAGTTTTGTCGACATGTACCACGATCTTACCATTATGACTCCTCCCTGCTGCATTCTACGCCGATGGAGTAGAACAAGTGCCGGTTAATCCGTAACAGTTCTCAGCAAAGTTTTTGAACTCAACCATGACCGGCCATAGCCTAGTCGGAAACAGCCAAAGTAAACAAAGATACAACGGCTTGGGGACCAACTTATGGTCCAGAAAAACTCGCTAGGTTAGGACCCGACACTACTTATTGTAAGGAATAATTTTTACTGTCCTAATAAACTAAGAAATACAAAAAAACGAGCAAACATAGAAAAGAACCTTTCCAAGTCCCACGAAAGATAGCCGATGACAACCGAAGAAGCTTGTTCACGACGGGCGATTGGGCCGCTGGGAAGGCGAACTTTGAGCACGTGACCTGAGTGCATTACAGAAATATTTGGCGAATTTCGCGGTATTTATGTGATGTTTCATTACTTTTATTGTATCCTGCCCAAAATTTCGGCACAAATGAATTGACTAGAGCTGTTTTCTACACATCTTATTAAACAAAATAGGAATTGTCCGGGATATTTAATTTGAACGGGGAAAGGAGCCAACAATGAGCAGATTGACCGCTGTCCAAAAGGCGCCAAAATTGAGTTAAAATAGCTTGTTCTGCAAATTCATTTTCATCAGCGCTCCTACTTTTATATTTGGTACTCTAAAACATATCTCCAGGGCTGCACAGGGAGTTATTACCTTTGCTTAGAGTGATTTAAACTTGAAAATGTGTGGGAGAACGGCTTGGTATGACACATCACCGAAAATAGCAACTGGAAAGCCCAACATGTAAACTTTAAAAAGCGTTTTTGTTTCATCAACAATTATTTGTCTTTGTTGTTCTTCAGTACGCTAGCGCCCGATGAAATCCCCAAGGCATGCAGATACAAAGGAAAGGACGGAAAAACACAAGAACCACAATGGAGGGATGGTGGAAGTGGAGCAACATATTATCCTTCACATAACATTAGTCCGCAATCTTTTACGTGAGTTTGTGTGTACAGTCGTCATCGTGTATTTTGCGTTTCATTTGTGGGTTGTGTGCTTTGCGAAAATTTCATGGTTCAGAAATGTTAGGAATGTTTGCAGTCAAGAGGAAATTGTGGTGTGACATGGCGAAAAAAAATGGAACATGGAAGTTCACTCAATTTCCTTGCTCTCCATAAACACGTTTAAGCGTAATACATCCCCCGAGATATCTGGCTCTCTCAAGTTTTTCCTGAACTCATACGTGACTTCGTTGTACCATTCTTTTGTCTGTCAAACAATACGTGATTCCTCATTTCAAGTCTCAGGTCAAACGATATAAATGTGCATACAATTTTCTGTTTAGCTTCATGTTTATTTTGTCTCTTTTATTTGATCGACAAGGCCGTCATGAAAGATTAGTTATTGGAAACTGAAAACTGAACTTTTATAACTAGCTTCCGGGGATGTTATGTATACGTGTCCCTGACGCCTTTAATCTCTGACCGTTTAAAGACATCTTGCCATTTTGTCACCCTTTTTAAGACTGATCTCATTTTGCATATAGTTTTGACAGCATAGACTGAATAAGGTTTGAAAAAACAAATGTCGGTACCTCACATGCAGACTGCACACGATCAAATTATGTGCACACCTTGTTCAAGGCTTCCCATGAAGAAAGACACTCTGTTGAAGGCACTAAAAATTGAAACTCAGCATGAAAAGAAAGTCGTGTCCGATAGCCCAGGACTAGCGGATTTTTCTATCGGGCTAGTGATTTTTGTTCTTAACTTGCCCTACAGGCAAGTGCTGTGTTTTGGGGAAATTCAAATTACAGAAGGATGGTAATCAATCCTGCTAATTATCAAAAAGGGTTTTGGGGCTAGTTGGAATGACTTGTGGGCTAGTACATGCTAGCTACAGCTTGCCCGAAAGGCAGGCTGTAAAACTGGCTTTCTTTAGAGGTAAAAAATTATACCCCATTGGGCAGCACATACCTTTATAGGCAACTCCCCCAGGCCTCTGCTTGCTAGGGATTATAATAAAACTGTTGCAAGCCAAAAAGTGCCATTAGAAAATATCAAAAGTAATGGAAAAATCTTTTAAAAAAGTAAAAATACAAGCACATTTTTAAATTTCTTTACTTAATCATTATTCATATATTCTATATGCATGTTATTTTCAGTCCAGTACTTTTATCCAGCCAACATTTCAACGATGTGGCCTCAGAGGCTGTGCCTGAAAGAGTCCTACAGCCTATGCGCTGGGGATTAATCCCCTCCTGGTTTCATGGAGATCCCAAAGAGTTTAGCTACAACATGAGCAATGCCCGAAGTGATTCTTTGTTGGACAAGAAATCTTTTCGAACTCCTCTTGAGACAGGCAAAAGATGCGTCATCTTGGCAGAAGGGTAAAGCATTTATTTTATGATATGTAATTCATGTTTTGTATTTATTTATAGAACAGTTTATTGATTTTACTTTTAAGCCACCTATCCAAGACTTTGCTCCGAGACAAAATTGGAAAAGAGCCCAAAATTAGTTCTGATCCTATGAACTCAATTGTGTCTGACATAGAAATTGTACAAATATGTCTGTTATGCCCCAGGGATCTCCTCTGCATGCAGAGGCTCTTACTGGGTATTCCAATAAAAAAGCTATAATTAAAAATAGTAAATGGTCAGTGGACAATGGGAAGAGGGAAAAAGCATGGCCTTTCCATTTTTCATTTGCTGTAAGTTGCTAGGGAACACCAGCTGCTACTTGAGGACAGCCCTGTGGCTATCCATTAATGCGTTACATTATTTTCATACACATCAATAAGCTGAGTAATAAAAAGCAGTTATAACAAAGTTTGGTAAAATTTGATTGCAAACTAAGTCATCAGGCTATTATGAAGGGCCAAGGGTGGGGGATTTTGCGAGGCTGTGATCAATTTGAATGGTGGCTACTCTCTTGGCATTACAAAAATTTGTCAAATTCTTTTCCCATTTCCCCAGGCCACCTACCTAAAATTAGGTCAGGGGCATTGTTGTTAACAGAATTGCACTTTTGTATTTAAAATATTTAATAGTTATATGTTTACTTACAGGTTCTTTGAGTGGGAAACTGTTAAGAAAGGAAAGAAACAACCTTATTATATCTATTTCAAAGGAGATGGAAAAGTGAAACCAAAAGAGGAAGGAAATGTCTCTGAAGATGATACAGAAGATAAGGAGCTGGCTTCAATGAAAAAAGAGGACACAGCAAAATGGGGAGAAAAGAGACTTTTAACAATGGCTGGTCTGTTTGATCATTGGAAAGCACCAAAAGTAGGTATTTTTTATTATATTTTCTAAAGAAAATCTTTTAGCTAGGTTAGGAAAACAAATCTATTGTTAATCTTAGATCAGCAGGCCAACTTAGTACAGATCAAGTGTGCATCTGTGGCCATCATACTGAAAGATAAAGGTGGCTGAACACAGTTTGTTAGGTTATGAGTCATTACTATTCACTCGTTGTGCACTTTCAGGTCCACAAAAACATATAACAAAGGAGTCTGACGGGTTTCATAACCATTCCACTCAATTAACTATGATGGCACCCAACTCAACTGTGTCCTGATACATTCTCAAAGGAAGATTTCCTTTGATTCTTCTGTCTTTTGTAAAACTTTCAGGATGTTTCAGGTGAAGTCAGAGATCTGTTTTCCTATACAATCATCACAGTGAATTCAACTTCATCACTTGACTGGCTTCATGATCGAATGCCGGTAAGCCTTTATACACTGATAAAACTTCTATAGAGTTATAATTATTTTCTCTTACTTTTGAGCAGGATTTTTCATCTCACTCCAAATCCTCTTTATTAATTTTCTCACTACCTCATGTGAGCATTCACAGCTCATAATTATTATGTAGGCATACAGGGATGCAGGTTCAATTTTCAAATAATTAATTCATAATTTAATGAAAACTTATGGGGAAGGCTCGTCCTGGCTTGACTGTAATTTTATAAGTACTAACAAACAAACAGTTGTTTTTGTCTAACTTTTTCTTAATGGAAGTTGTTATAATTATTTTTATTGTAATGTAGGCTATTTTAGATGGTGAAGAGGAGGTGCGGCAGTGGTTAGATTATGGAGAAGTTCCTTGGCGAAAGGTACATTTGTAGTAAAATCTTTTAAGTTCTTGTCTGAGCGTTGACATGTTTTAAAAACAAGTTAAGATGGAGTCCATCAGGAAATTGAGTAATTGTAATTTTTAGTGGACAAAAATCTTGTACCAGAAAAATTTAAAGAATATTGCATTCTTTTTTACATTTTTCAAGGGCTGAAGATGTAATAAATAATCTGTAGTAACACCAAAGAACATTTCTCATGGAAGTCCGAGGAAATTAAATGTCAAATTTAACAAGAATTGTTATTATACAGGTAAAGTTCTAAAAATTTCATGTGTAAGGTGTAATTTTGTGAAATTTAAAATTCATTTTCTCGGGCTGCCATGAGAAATTTTTTTTGGTGTTACTACAGATGATTTATTACATCTTTAGCCCTTGAAAAATGTAAGAAAGAATGCAATATGCTTTAAATTAATCTGGTACAAGATTTTTGTCCACTGAAAAGCAAAATTACTCAATATCCTGGTGGATTCCGTCTTAATAATTTGCTATTTTGCATTGCAGGTATTATTTTATCCGCTTTTTGTAGCTTGTTCATTTAAATTTGGAGCTACAACTAATCTTATGTTTGTTTATTTTAAGGCACTGGAGCTTGTTAAACCCAAAGATTGTTTGGAATGGCATCCAGTCTCTTCGGTTGTTAACAACTCTAGAAATAAATCCCCAGAGTGTATCCAACCAATTGATCTGTAAGTATTTTTTTTGTATTTTCTTGTGTAACCACTTTGAAAATCTTCTGTTAGTCCACCTCCCTCTGTATCCAACATGTCTACTTCCTGATCACATCAATCACCTTGTTCCAGTTCTCCCATGAGAGCTGTATAAGCAAGGCAGGACCGATGCTCACTCACACCTGGTACATCAACAATCTTGTCAAAAGCTCATCCTTAGCTCAGTGCAACCCCAAGTATCAGGCTCTATTGACTCAACCTCCCTTGACGTTGGCAGTACTCATTCACATTCCTTGCTTCCACCTTGCATTTCACAAGTGCAGAATAAGCAGGGAATTTTGTCATTCATTCACCAGAAGTTGGCATAAGAATCATAAGTTTTAGGCACCCATGCGGGGTTCCTTGTTTGAAATTTTGGTCACCCGTGGGCAAATCGTAGGTGCCTCTGCTGACTGGGTGCCCATTAGGCAGCAGCTGGTTCCTCTATGCTTTCTTCCTACATTCTCTGGTTCAATTGTCAGTTGTTGAAATGAACTGTGTGAGATCTCCTGGAATGTACCCTAGCCCTAGCTTTCTTCAACCAATCTGTTCTGTTCTTGACACAGTTCACTTTTTCAAATGGTCCCTCCCACTGTAAATGGAATTTGTTTGCAGCACTTAATCACCAGTTAGATACACCGTATGTTTTGTGCCCTTGTCAGAACCGCTTGTGCGGATGCAGGTCCCTCCTACCAGTTGTGACATCATCAGTTTTAACAGCTAAGAACAACTTTGTCCGCCAACTTGTGCAGGGTGAAGAGATCTTTTAAACCATACCAGAATGAGCACAATTAAGTCAAGGAGACTGGAGAAAAAGGTAAAAAACCATGTAACATTGACCCAGAAATTTCTGTGAAAACTTGCTTCACTACCCACCTACTTTTTCATCTAATCCCAAAATCCTAACAGCTTTTCTGAAAACGTTTCCCACCAAAATGAAGCCTACCGAATGCCCAGCAAGGGAAAAAATAAGGCAAGAAAAGAGAAAGAAGAGGGGAGAGAAGAAAGCGAAATTTTACTTTCTGCGCATGCCCGGACTTCACAAGCCGATATTTTCACTAGTCCAAGCTAGTGGTATGGCATCCTTGCAGGTCCGTTTGTCAATCCAAAAGGCATTACTTTCCATTGGTATTGTGTCTGATGAGTAGAGAAGACAGTCTTCTGCCTATCATCTACTTTTACTTGCACCTGCCAGTACCCAGGCTGGAAAGCAAATGTGCCCTCACCAAAGACGTCTAACATGTCATCGGTCCAAGGTAGTGGTATGGCATCCCTCTTTGTCAACTGATTAAGTTGCAGTAGCCAATTCTCATATGGTATGCCCTGATGTGTTCCCTGGGAAGTACCAAAGAACAGTTCCATGGACTTTTAAATGGTAAAACCATTGAGTGCCATTATGTCATTAATTGAGTTCTGAGGAGTTGAGAAGGCAGTCTTAAACCTGTCCTAGATTCACTTGCATCGGTCAAGGTCTCTAATATACTATTGCTCCAAGGTAGTAGTATGCCATCCTTTTTTGTCAACTAAGTCATTGCATGTATGGTATGTCCTGTTGTGTTTCCCAGAATTTACCAAAAGATTGCTCCAAGGACTTTGAAATGGTTCAATCCAGCCTGTAGCTAGTAACTCTTCCAGCTACTGAGTGATAACTTCTTCTCTATAGGGTAGTATTGGGCGAGGAGACTGTTTCAGTGGCTTGCAGTCATTGGTGTCAATTACATGATGCTCATCTTTTCTAAATCACAGCTGTCTTTTGCAAAGTTGTCCTCATATTCTGTTACCGGGGACAAAAACTGCCCTTTTTGGTCTTTTGATAGCCCTTCTAGGTTACTTTGCCCTCTTACCGCCACTTTTCATCCTATATTGGTTGCTTCTCTTTCACCACTGGATTGTCAATATCTGAGAATAATGTGGGTGAGAGATATTGTTTTCTTCCAACCTAGAAATGTGCTATATATTTGACACAAAATGTCCCATTTCAATAGTATGGGACTTGGAAAGTAATTTACATTTGATCAGATCTCAAAAGCTTACAAACATTTTTGAGTCGCAAAGTTTTGTTTTTGTGAATTTCCTTGAGTTCAGATTTTTAACTTTATGTGTTTTTTAAGTAATATGTAAACTTTTTGCAGTGTTTTTGTTTTGTATTCACTAGTTAAGTGCGAAAAATAATAAAGTTGTTTCATTTGCCCCCCCCCCCCACAAAAAAATGTGCAGAAAAGTCTTTACTTTTTAAGGTAGGTCTTAGACTCTCTGCAACTTGGACTTTACTATTCACTTCCCTTTCTTTACATCCATGACCACTTTTCATAACTCCCAGAGGTGTCCATAGAATAAGGGAGCTTTGACTGTTTACTAATAACCCTTGAGGTCAATATGAATTTAGCTGTGTAGGCATACAATCCCCTCTCTCTCTCTTAATGGAAAACCCCTATAGAACATCTCTAAGGTACAACATAGTGGTATAGCCTCAGTGATTTTAATCTTAGAGAGAGAGAGAGAGAGTTGACTGTATTAAACGACTGAATCCCAGTACTGTTAATTGTATACTTCGTGCTGGGGATAGTGGTCAGAAAGAGCTCTTGTTCTCTAAAAATGCCCTTGTAGAGTAGCCAATACATTATTCCTGGCAGCAAAGCCCTCCCTGACCTGCTTACAGTGGGACTGTATGCTTCCACCGGCAGGTGTGACAGATGTGTCTCTGGCACCTTAAAACCAGTACTCCAGGAAAGAAAGAGGAGATCTGTCTTGGATGATGCTCTCAGTCTTCCCACAAATGTAGGGAACTCTGCAGTAAAAACCTTGGGCCATGAAGCCTGAGGCTCAAAGTGATTTTCGGACAGTGGTCGGACACAAAGAAATTTTTGCTTGGTCAAATCTCAAAGAAATTCTGGTTTGGTCAAATGTTGTTTCTGAATGGTCAAAATATCAGATTGGGAAAAAAGTAAACAAATCTATGTGTAATTTGCTATTTGTGAACGTGACTGTGTATTTTTACAGAGACAAAATCTAAGATTTACAGGTGAGGATTTGGTTATTTTTTCTAGAATAAGGGTGTTCACGGCCAGTGAACATGAACAGCGAGTGAAGTTTTTTGCCAGTCAAGTTACCATACTAGCTAGACATTATTGATGTTATCCGTTGACCTTCCATTATTTGAGCCCTGCAGCCATTATAGCTATTATCTTTACAAGTACTGAAGACACTGTAGGGGTAATTTTTTTAACAAGAAAATAATCCATGATTCACATTTTTTAATATTAGGAAATACAATGTACTTTCAGATCCAAACAAAAGGAGAAGCCAGTTGCTGGGACTCTCTTTTCATACTTCAAAAGGTCACCCAAGAAAGAAGAAAAAACTTCAACTGAAGAGCCCTCACCTAAGAAAACAAAATTTCAGGGAAAATAATTTAAAAATTAATTGATAAGGTATAAACCCAAAAACTTGCTTCAATGTGCTTAACTGTTTAACAGTAGGAGCAAGGTACACATATTCCATAGCGCCTTATCACAAACATGAATATTAACTGTTTTCCCCTAGTGAATTAGCCCCTTCAAGTTTGCCCCCTACTTTTCCAGATCACCCCATGGTGTTAGACATTCATATCTAAAAAAAGAGTGAGGTAAAAAGCTCATTTTGGTCAAGTTTAACCATCTTGAAACATTGAACCTTTCCACACTGCAAGTGTAAAATATTGGCAAAGTATAGAAAGTATGGAATGCCATATGATTGAAATCGAAGCAATCTTTGGCAAAAAGTGTGTGCAGCAGTTAAAATCAAAATGATTGATGGATCATCGTAGCGTTCATTCTGAGCATTTCATGGGGCTGTCTCTTCACAGGGCTTATTCACTATGAGGTGAATGCAATTTCTTACATTGCTAACTAATAAGGGGCTAACTTTTTATACTATTGGGCGAAACCACTGGCTTACTGAACATGTTATTCAATTAAACACCATCCAGTTGTTTGTTGAAAAAGCAATCTGTTTAGGCACACAAGAGGGAGCAAACAAGCAGCTAGAGGTTTCCCTCCTTTGCCTGAGCAACTTCTGGCAGTTAGCTCTTTTCTTTTCAGGGGAGGGGGGGTGGGGGGTTAATTTGTCTTTGCTGTAAGATCCCATAGAAAATTAAAATTTACTCTGAGTTACAGTTATTTGTAGATGGGGGTATTCACTGTACATGTAATGGAAGTCTGGAAAAATGGTAAAGAGTCTTGAGTTTTTTTCAAAGCTACAACAAGCCGACTTTATGTGTGCAATTTTTTTTGTTTTGGTCAAATCTTATTCAATCTCATCCTTGCATGGCAAACTTACATGGTGAAAAAAGCTTTGTCTTGAAAAGAAATTATTGATTTGAAAAAAGTCTGGAAAAAGTCTTCAATTTTGGATCCAAAAGTCTGTATGAACCCTATAAGGTATTTCAAAATTGTACTTTAAAAAATATCATTATCAAAACTCAAGGTAAAAAAATCATATATTAAGATAAGCAATCTGCTTTTCCATACTTTTTAGTGGTTTCTCTACATAGTAGCTACCTGGTGAAGCATCCAGTAGTATTAACATGGTTTAGTTGAATAAAGTACACAAAATATTGGACAAATAGGGTACAGTAATGCATGATACTTTTCCAGTAAGTTTTCAAGGTTTAGTCAATGAATTAACTTTATTCAGTTTTCTTTCTTGAGTTTTATTTTTTCATTCACTAAGTTATATTATTATTTACACTTGTTTGACAGGTTTCTGAATAAAGATTTGGGTTTAAATTAAATCATTACAGCTGGCTGTAACTGAGTAGTGAAGATCTGAAAAAAAATATAGTTGGATATTTTAATAGTTCTGAAAGCAGCCTCTTCCACATCTGTTTGTTGTTGCTCAGTATACTGTTTACAATCAAATTAGCAGGTTTACCATTATGGATTGCTGCACTCTAAAATGAACAAGTGCAATAAACAGATTAAAACGAGTTAGGCTGTATTATATTTTGAGTGTTGATAGGAGATGCAAAGCAAAAAATAAATGTGCCAAAAAAACCATTATGTTAGAGGAACAAAATTAATCTAATTGTGAAGAAATAATTGCAATGTATAAGTAAACTTTCTTTTTTTACACTCTTAACTTGAAAACATTATGTCAGTCTTTAGCATATTTAGCTTTTTGCAGGTTCATATATTCCATGACCAAAGGCTCCTTGCCGTGAAGTACTGTCTGTGGCGTGATGTTTAAAGGCAGCGTCTTTTGCTTTGTCAGATCTGAATGTGCTGAGATAAGCAGGGACCTGTGAAGAAAAATTACAGCAGCATTAATTTAGAGCCTGGTAGCCTGATATATACACTTGTAAGGAGGAATTTCATCTGTGGTCTACACATCGGGAGCAGCGCTAAAAAAAACTTGAGTTGTTCATGTAGCTAGTCCCTTGGGCGAGCATCTCTCATGTTTTGCTTACCCAGGGCACCTACACTTGCTTGTTTCAGCAATTTTGATTTAGTTGAGGATGACTTGCCTGGAACATCAGGCAAGTGATTTTAAATTAACAGCTACTTCCCCAGCAAGAAAAACTACTTGTCCCAGATGACCTGATGGGACTCTTTTCTATCCCTGTGGAGCTAACTCTATTATTGTTCCTCTCTAACCACTACTTCCGCTTGAATGGGATATATAATAGTTATTATTATAAATATTATGCTGGGCTATTCAAGGCTAACTAAAAGGTAACAGAAAGGCTGAATTTAAGCTTAAAAAGACCTCTATAATAAAATTGTCTCCTACTAAAACTAAAAAACTCTAAAAGCAATAACTGTTATTATATGCAATAAGCACTACTAGTTTTTCCGCTATAACTTTACAAAAGTAATATTATTTTGGTAACAATGTAATACCTTTTCAAACTTGGGCATGTGCCACAGTGGTGCAGAATCAACTGGAGGTTGAAATTTTCTGAGTCGTGAAGTCCTTGTCTCATAGATGGTCTTATCAACATGTCTCTGTGGGTAAAATAAGTTACAGGAATTTTGCTTTTTAAATCAAAAAGAGGAATTACATCTGTATTACAGTTCTAAAATAACATGTTTACCACCACGGGGAGATGAGCAGTATGATACTAGCAGTGCAGTACTACAATGTACATTATTGGTAATATTATTTTTAAGAATACCTTTTGCTCCTGTCTGGCCCTCGTAGCTTCCTCTGCCTTACGTCTCTCCTCTAACCATAGGTCCTGGTATTTATGTCCCAGAAGGTTATAAACTGGTGTAGAAGGTCTAGATGGAAAAACAGGTGATTTTTTATCAGTAAAGACCTTGGTATTAATTTCAGCACATTCCTACACTTGCCCAAAAGTTGACTTTTTCGTGTGAAGAAGTCACAAGATTAAGCAACAAAGTCATGCAACAAAATGGACTAGATTTTCTGGCACTTTAATGTACTGTAACCCTGAGTGATAAATTTTCTAAATGATTTAAATGCAGTTGTAGTGATAAATGGGATCTAATAAGGCACCTGAGATGATTAGAAGTAGATGTACTTACTTTGTTGGAATTCCAAACACCATTGTTGGTGGAATTCTTTTAACTTTGAGTGATGTTTTCTCATTTCCGGAGTCTTTTCTTCTCATATCATGAGTTGCACGGTACTGGAAATGTTCTTGCGCTGTTGTAAGCCCTGCTTGCACAGCTGCCTTATTTAAACCAATAAAGTCTCTTGGAGCTTTTTTCTCTTTGAGATACAGTAATTGAGCTGGAGGAGCTGATCTCCATACAAGGGCTGAAATTGAAAAGCATACATCATGCCATGATCACTAAGCTTAAAAAAAAATTAACACCAGGGATCAACTGCAGTGGCTTACAAAATATCAATAGGAAGGATGGACGTGGACTTTTTGTGTCATTGGGTAGTGGTTTGGTTGAAACTCTTGGGTAAATCGTCATTGTAAGAGAAAAGAAACTTAGCAATACAAATTTGCCATCATTAAGGCATATAAAAAGGAAGAAGGCCTCACTTCCGTTTGACGAGCATTGCTCCAAAAGGTCTTTGCTTAAGCTCCCTAATATCTCCTTTTCTACTGTTAGTGTTTGCACTACATTTGTTTTCAATTTTCTTTGGGTATTAAGTTGTCCCAAGGTAAATCAACGACAATGCTTCTGCACTTCTTTTTTGGGGGCGATGGGGTGGGGCAAACAAGGTGTTTTGAGGGAGATTTGCAAATAGTGAATGACAGAATTTAGGGAAGGGGCCAGAGAGATCCTTCCCAGTTCAGGAAAAATTGTTCAATCTTACCATCAGCAGCACCGCTGTCTTTTCCTTCATTTGCCTTTCCATAGGTGAAGCCATCATGGGGTAGGGTAAAACAGCGTCTAAGTGGTCTTCCAAGTTCAGACTAGAAAGAATCAAAAATTAGAATTCAAATGAGAAACCTAAAACTACTGCAAGTGAAAAATAAACAGGGTCAAGGTTTTAAGGTCGCTACACACGAGGTGACAAGTTGAGCAACATGTCGCGATGACACATTGCGGCGATAAATCGCTTCTTGTGTACTGGAGAATTTTGTTGCAGCAACGTGTTGCAAAAAATCAAATCAGACAGAATTTGTGTGACTTGTTGCAGCAACATAATTCTGTTGCAGAGACAAAGATTTTCACAAAAATTCTTCTCCAGTACACTCAAAGCAAGTTGTTGCTCTGATGTATTGCCATAACATGTTGCTGCAACTAGTCGCCGGACCTGTACACATGGAATGATCTGTCACTGCAACTTGTCACCTAGTGTGTACCGACCTTTATGCCCTCAGCGTTTACCACTTAACCTAAGGCTTGACACTCAGTCGCATGTGCAGGCTAAACCGGCTCCTGTCAAAACCCTGGTCATGCAATCCCCCTTTACTGCCCATTAGAGGAAATTCATCTTGGTAGAAGGGGGCGTGGGCTATAGTAATGTTACGGTGGTCAAATCTCACCAAAAAATACCTTCTGATTTATAAGGGGAAATTTGTTATTGTTTAGAAAAATTCAAGACATTTATTTACCTTTTGTAGAAGAGGGTTGTTTAGAAGCGATTCTCTTTGGACACCCAGCGTGACATGCTCCTTGCTCATCTTGAAATTATTTAAACTTTTTCTTTTTACACTGCTCTTCCTGTCTGTAAATAGAAAATGCAAGGAAATTCAACAGGGAAAAAACGTCTGCGAGAATATCGCATTGTCCGACAGATTTAAATTCCATTGAGGGAACAAAAGGGGCACCTGCCATCCTGCTAAAACGTTGCTACCGGTTTAACCTAAAGATATCTTGATACCACTTGTGACTGTTAGTAATGCTAAAGAAAGCGTTGCAACGTTTTATTAACACACCAACAAGTGAATACCCCGCTCTGGAGCTATTTATATATGTGTATACATCAAATGAAACGTGATCTCCCAAGATGTTCTTTTTAAACCATTTTCAATCTCGGCTGTTTCGGGTAAATCTATTTCAAATTTGAGATATTTGATCAAACTAATCGAATCGCTAGAGACTTTCTATGATAAAAGAAACTCAAATCTCTGCCTCAAGAAGCAATAATCGTCGCGCGACAACGCGCGCTCGTAATATGATAGGATCACACAAATCAACGAGATTTTTTTCCAGTTATACCCTTTCGAGGTTTAATACTGGGGTTTTACTTACCTTATTTACAGGGTAACTATTTCCTTAAAATAAAATCGTGTCAAATAATTTCAAAATTCACTCCTATCCTCCGTCTTGCAACTACAGTGTGTGGATGTCTGGTAAAGTTGCCATAGACACCAAGACTTTGCAACTGGTCAAAGTCAATGCAGGCTCGTGTTTATCGTAGCAACTGGGAGGGAAAATTCAAGATGGACGCAACGAAGAAACCATTGTTAATACCCCCTGAATTCTCAAACTATGCAGAGAAACATGGAATTTTTCAGATTTATGAGGTGATGTTTTAATGTACTTTTACCTGTGTGTCGAAGTGTGCGCTTGCAAATGAGATGGCTCTTTACAAATTATTAATTCTCAGCCGCCTGTAAAAGCTAAAAAGCTGCTGGGCCGTAAAACTTAGTTTGACAGCGTTAAGCTTTCAGAGGTCTGCAATTAGAATATTCTAAATATTATGTGATTTTTACAGGCAATTGATGAAGTTGAAAAGAAGTGAGTAACCATGTCATGATAATTTTTAATAACTGACTGTGAAATCCTCAAGGATGTCTAGATCTGTGAGACAAGTTTGAAGAACAATTTAAGCTTACATGTATTTCATAATTTTTGTCTTTGTTTTTGCAGTGGCTCTTGACCAAGCTAGTTATAGAACAACCTGCAGATCCTTTGTCTTACTTGATAGGACTTTTGGGCCAAGATGGCAGTGGTAAGATTGCAAATTTAATTTAGAAATCAAGTCAATCATATTTTTGTGTAGATCTCCATCCTTAGACTAGAGGTAGATTACCCACCAAGTCGAAAGACGGTACCCTAGTTGCAATGTAACTGCCAGATATTAGATTTGTTACACGGAGATATTAGATTTGTTACTTGGAGTATCATGGAAATTTTCAAGAAGGAGAGGGATCTTTCAGGTCAAATGTTTTGGTCGTGCCACAAGGGGAATTTGCTTCAACCAATCTGGGTAGTGACACGTCATCAGTATGGAATTTCTGCGCTCATTTCTCAGATGTCATTTCGCGGGGAAACCAGTAGTAGCGTCGCAAAATGTTGGCTGTTTTTTCAGGCTAAGGTTCGACAAATTGTGACTCAAACGTATGTAGAAGAACCACCAGTAGCCTGCGAAAACATCCGTTTCTCCTTTCTCTTCGCCGCTGGGGATGTTTTGCATGGAGAAATGTCTGCGACTCAGCGGCAGAAATTCCATACTGATGATGCAAATCAATGTTTACATAATAAACCCGGTAGTCATGGGGTTCCAAATATAAATTTGTCCAATTTTACTTGTCTTCTGGTTGATTTTGGTAAAGTGTTGTGTTCATCTGCCAACGAGCTCCAGTGAAACTCAAATGCTTCTTCTAGAGAATACTATATTCCACAAATATTGACTGTTTTTTTAGAGATTCTTCGCGTTTACATTTGACCTTTGTGGCCTTTTGTCTTTTGTCTGTCATTCGTAAACAGTAGCTAAAACAATGTAACTACTCAGTGCTTATGACCAGATTCCAGATTCCAGATTCCAGATTTTACGTCGTCAGAATGGAATTTCTGTCGCTTAATCGCAGACGTTCCTCCACGCGAAACGTCCCCAGTGGCGAAGAGCGAGGAGAAACGGATGTTTTCGCAGGCTAAACCACCAGGTGTAACAAATCTAATAGAGACCTTTAGCATCAGGTTTTTTTATGGGTAACCGCAAACTGCACTTTGCAGTTACTCGTTTGCAGGTTCACAATGTCAAATTTTAGCAAGGTGTTCTTTGTTTAGTACCGCTGTTTTGTTTTCTGTTAAGTCAGAGTGCATGACACTTTTATCACCCAAAAAACATGAATAAAGAGTTCAAAAATCTAATGCGGGTATTTTCCTTGGCTCTTAGCTATAATATCTACGTCCCTCAAATAAAGGAACCTACTTCATGTCCTTAAACATGAGGCTGTACAACTCTTAGTGGCCAAAAACCTTGCCGTAAGGCACTTACCACTGAATGCCTTCCACATAAAGGAAAAAATGTATAGTAATCTATGCAGGTTTTGTGTTATTGTAAAACCTTTAAAGCCTAGACCATTACTGGTAATTATTATTTATAGTGCTGTAGATGTAACATTTTTTATACACATATTTCTTTTCAATCTTTCATAAAAGTTTAAGAAATAAACAGGATGCTAAATAATTTTTGTTACTATTAATACTAGTTCCACAGATTATAATTCATGGACCTCCAGCAGCAGGAAAAAGAACTATGGTAATTTCATTTTGTAGTAAATAGTGTGAATCAAGATATACTGCTTTGTCTTTTGGCCATTACTCTTAATTTATGGTAACTTATTTTTTTGTTTGCAACAGACCATTAATTTGCTCAATGGCATCATTTTACTACTACTACCAGAATCCTTTAGGATTTACCAAATTTAAATATTAAAGTAAAAGTAAAATGAGGTCTGGTCTTAGTAGTAGAAAGACATCATTGTGCAAACGGCCTATTACAGGAAGATTCATTGTGGATGAAAGGCAATTTAAGCCACAAACAACCAAATAAATGCCAAAGCCCCGTTGAGTTTCTCTTAAAGTGCAACATAAACAGAGACATTATACCATGAAAAGGGCTGGGCCATTCTAGTAAAGCCGATTTAGTGAAGATGACAAGTTCTTGATGGTTTCATTGCAGTCTGTGATGGTCGCCAAACATTTCAATTGTGTGCATATTACACCTGATAATCTTGTGGTAGAATCAGATTCAAAAGCAGCAAAAAAGGTACAAGTAGTAATAAGCCTATAAAAGTACTGTACAACTGTATTATCTTAAGCCACACTGTTGGCTCTTCAGTTGATAAAGCATTGGTCTAAAGAGAAGATAGTCTTACTGGGTTCAATTCATGCAACTTGGGCCAGCCAAGGCCAGACGAAATGAACCAAACTGGCTGGGTTACATTCCTGAAAAGTTTGATGTCTGTGTTAGTTTAGTTTGTTTGAATGAGTTTTGATTGACCGATTCAAAGAGGATTCAGTTAAAAGGTTACCATAGCATTAATTGCACATGTAAAAGTTAGTTTGACAAATATTCTGGCTGTATTATGGTCTAAAAGTGAAGCAACAAAATAACTGAAAAAGAAGTTACTGCCGTCTACCTTTTTATTCAAGTGGCTGAACCTTGGCAAGGCTCTGATGACCATGGAGATAAAAGGAACTTCCTCAGGAAATAATTGTCATGCTTTATGTATTGATTGAATAAAAGCACGCTTGTAACTTCCATTTTGCATGAGCAAATAAACTAGATCTTGCTTCTGGTTTTAGTTTATGTCTTTATATCAGTATAATATTTTGAGCAAAAATGTTTTTTTTCAATTTGATAATTTTCAATGTATATTTTATAGGCTCAAGAGTATATGTCAGCCAAAGAGGTAACAAAATTACTGTTCAATTCACAAATACATAAAAAAATGTAATACTCATTCTAAAAGTTTTGTGAATTAATTACCTAGCATTTACAGGGTGAATATAGCTGTTTACTTTTAGTTTTAATTACCCGTAATTTATGATTTTATTTCTATTTCTTTTTCGTTTCAATTTTCCTTTTTAATTTTCCTTTACATTTTGTACAAAACTAATGAGAGCCAATTATTTCATTTTCAGTCAGTTCCCACTCATGTTTGGGTCACCTTGATAAAAGAAAGACTTTCCAAAGAAGACTGCATCAGTAAGGTACGCTATACAAATGTATGTAGTTACATAAACAGTTTTTAAAGAAACATAATTAAATAACCCTCGGTGTATGATGGGAGTACATGCACGTTGCTACACCGGCTTGTTTTCAGGCAGTCCACTTAAATACATTGTAGTTTAATTAAATTGTAGAAAATTTTAATTTCCAAAATTAAGAGAACAAGTGTGACCTCTCAAGGAATTAACTTGGGATTCCAAGAACAAATCAGTCTGGACTCAAACTCAACATAATTGGGACGTTTGTATACATGCAATACAATTACCAGTACAGTTGAACCTCTCTACAATGGCCACCTTGGGGACAGAAGAAAGTACTCGTTGTAAAGAGGTGGCCATTATAGAGAGGTTTTAAACAAAAGTCAGTGTATGGATTTTTTGTCCGCTGGGACGAAAAAAAGTGGCCGTCGTAGAAAGGTGGACATTAACAGAGGTTTGACTGTACATGTATATGTATTTCATTTTTCTAGAGTAAGACTAGTGCACTGAAGGTCTCCTCTTTATGGTTCACGTAATAAAGTGCATTTTTCATGGCTGACTGTACAGAAACAAAATAGTAATCATTGAGTTAGCTTGAGCTCAAAACATAGAAAAATCTGTTGTCCTGGAGCAAAGAGAACCAATGGCACATTATAATATTTAGAACTTCTCACAGGGGACTCTGATTTTTGCCTCTTTTTTTGCAGGGCTGGTTGCTTGAGGCTTTTCCACAAACGAGAGAACAGGTTTCTTATGCAGTTTTTCTTCTCAACTTAGTTTATAAGTATAGGGCTTTTATAACATTATTTTCTTTTATTTAAATAATATGGTATTTGCATGGGATTGTTTTTTTTAATGTTACCCTGGAAAAGACTTGTAAATACACAAATGATTTCTTTATTATTATTTTTTCTGGGTGGGGGTGGGGGCTAGCAGTTTATTATTGCATTTGGTTTGTTAAAGTGGGAGTTTGAATTTTATAAGTGTCCAGTGGAACCACAGGTGGTCCAAGCTCGAAATATGACCATCAGCACTGTTGTGTAACGTTCAGAATATAAGGATTTGTATGGGAGAAAAAACACTTGTTTCTGTAGTCTACGAATGTAAAAGGATTGAAATAAAAAAAGGCTAACCTCACTTGAGTGGATCATTATAATTATGTTTCTGGGAAACTGCCCACCTACCCCTCCCCAAAGCTATTGGTTTTCACATGTAACTTTTCATACACTTGTCCATGTGAGATTTAAACAAGTTCTATTTTTCATTGTTACAATCTCTAGGCTCAAGCACTGCAAGCAGAGGGAATAATGCCAAAACATTTTGGTAAGGTTTGATAACTTGCTCTTTTTTCAATACTTTCTCTTTGGTTTCTAAACTAAAAAGAGACAAGCCCTTCTCTAAATGGACAAGTTAAATATGAGATTATTTCTTCTTTACTCACATTACCATCATAAGGGCTCATTGATTTGCAGAGTAGAATTTTCTAGATTCTACACTCGAAGTAAATTATTTCACCATTTTCAGAAGTTTAACCATTTACCATTTACAGGAGCCTATTGCCCTGCCATTTAAGAACCACAAGCAACCTTATTCCCAGGGTCCTCTCCTGCTCGCCATGGGGCCGAGTAGGAGAGGGCCCTGGGAATAAGGTTGCTTGTGGTTCTAAAATGGTAAATGGTTAAATTTTAATTGATAACTTTTTCATGTGTCCTTACCATTTCATCAAGCAGTGATGCGTTAGCTGTCAGAAAGTATAATCTGCTTTCAATGGATATGTATAATTTTTAAAAAACATACATTGTGATTATTTTTAGTGCTTCTTGAGGCTCGAGACACAGTCCTGATAGAAAGGGTGATGGGCAAAAGAATTGACCCTGATACTGGAGGTAGGATGTTATTATTTATTACAACAGTAATTATTTATAACAAGATGACCATAAAGTTACTTACCGTTATTCTAGAGAATTATTTGGCTGTTACACCATAAAAGTCTCAAAGTAAGCCCTCTGACCACAGTTATATTCCCCAAATTTATACATCAAAATTGCCTCTTCTTCCTCTGAATACATGCCCCTGAAGCTTTTATTTTTGCATTTGCCCTCAAATACACTATTAGCCTGCGAATACAGCAATCTCTCCTCACTCGTTTCTGCAATGGACATTTTGATGTTCTCATGTTCAATGGTGATTTCCACTTCCCTGGGCAAAGGGTCTCTAACTTTTGGATAGAGCTTCCACTCTTTAGAATGCTCAAAGTCCGAATAATTTATTCAAATACAATTATCCTACCTTCCTTTTTAGAATAATAGTAAAGTGGAGGCCAAACCAAAGGAACTCTTTCAAATGTTTTAAAACTACAAATTAAATGTTCATAATTGACTACCTGAGTTAAAGGGGAAATGATTAGGTACACACAGTTAAACCTCATTAGTAGGGACAACAAAGGGAATTCAGCTGCTTAGTTTAGAGTTTGGAAATGTATGTGTATAAAGATTGGTATCTTCCATCTGGACCCCAAGAACTGTCTGTTATAGAGTTTCCAGTGAATTCCTTACAAGCAAAATGCACAGTAGAACAGCTGTAAAGATAATGATGTATTTTTTCCAGATGTGTATCATTCAACATTTGACCCTCCTACTGATGCTGCTGTAGTTCAGCGCCTTGTTCCTGATCCCAAGTCCTCTGAGAAAGTTATGATTGAAAGACTGATGGAGTACCACAGGTAAGCAGTGGTTAGATTGAAGCCTGCTTCAACTGATATTCAAACATGAAAGCAGCAAGGGAGAAACACCAGAGGTTTCATGAAAATAAAAAAGATCGTCGCAGTGAAATAAACAACCTAGGCGGTTGAAAAAGAACCTGAAAAAAAATCAGACTTGACCAGGAATCGAACCCTGACCTTTGCAATGACTGGACACAACACTCTATCCATTAAGCTAACCAAGCCAACTGGAGAGCAAGTATTGTGAGTTCCCGATATGAATGGAAATATATGAAATGACTCGTGTGATATGGGTTTGAAAGGGACAGAGCAGAGAAATTGTGTGTGCAAAAATGCAAAAAGGGCATGAAGGAGGGAGGATGGGAAGGAAAGTCTTCCACAATCCCTCCCTCCCTCCCTCAGGCGACCAGTTTCCTCTTTCCCTCCTGTTGTACAGGACAGGACAGTCTTTGTTTTGCCCTAGAGCACCACTGAACAGCCAAATTTTGTAAGCAACTAATGCGTAGCTGTTTATATGAATTTTATGCAGACATATTGATGGCATTTTAATGTGTTATGAGAAGATTTACAAATCTGTCAATGTTGATCAGCCAAAAACAGATGTCTTTTCACAAGGTGATCGTTATTATTTTTGATTTATTGATATTAATTTGTTTTGTATAACGTCACAGATTATATAATGAACATTTCTTATCCAGGATTTATAATATGAACATGATGAATGTATTTGATTTACAAGATCAATCTACCTCGGGGAGACTTGAGCGAAATTCCAGTCGGGGACACAGATATTTTTATAAGTCACACACTCCGTGGCGACATCACAAAAATCAAGTCTTTCCCAGGAGTGAGCATTTTTCACCTTTCTGCATGTTTCGTTACGTCCAGCCTTTTCACGCCGCGCGCAACGCGTCACGCGACACTTAACGCGTAAAAAGAAAGTGGCATAGACTACGAGACGTGCCTCATTTTCACATGGATAGTAGATCAAGAAGCGGGCGAATTACCCAAGTGCGCGTAATCGCCACCCGTGAGGAAGGTGACACGCGGAAGGAATTTTCTCCCCTTTCTCCGCGTCTCGCCTCTCCTCGCGCGCAGCGTTTTTCACGCGAGCCCGCATATTGCGTTCCCTCAACTATCCCTCAGGAAAATGAGTGTCTACTCAGTAGTCTAAAAGTAGTGCGGCCTGGTTCAAAGAAGAAGATACTGGTATTAGAACAAAGGCAACTCCAAGCCAAGGGATACTATAAACTTGAAAGTGCTTAAAGTAGCCGTATCATGAGAATTTTCCCAAGATTTGATGCAGGCAAAACTAGAATTTGCTTACACTCGCTGATGCATAATGGTGAAACTGCTGCGTGAATTCAGTTCTAGTGTACTTTAAATATAGTTAGGGAACCTGTGCATATGACAACAAGCGTGTCTATCTCACTGTTGTAGTGATGGCCTACCTAAAGATGAATCACCGAGATAGCGCTCCTCATACTCCCAGACTCATTCTTTTGGGTCCTACTGGGTGTGGTAAGAGTGTACAGGCTGAACTTCTGGCCAGCAAATACGGTCTGGTGAATGGTAAGTTAACACAAAAAGTTTATGAGCAGACATTTAATTTATGACCCTTCGTTATACTGTGCACAGCGCCTCTTTTTGCGCCAAAAATTGTAGTCCGTCGTGGTCGATCCGTTCAAGCTGCCATGTAAAACCTCCTTTTGGTTGTGAGATTGGGTTGGCAAGTCCACGTCAGTTTTCAGTTTTCTTAATATTTCGACTTCATTTCAGACACTTTTAAAACCCTTTCAGTCATAATAGTGGCCAAAGTATAAACTCGCAAGAAAAAACCAGTAAGTTTTAAATTTTGTAAAATCTTCAGAAACAAATGGTGCTATGCAACAGGTCTGCGAAAGAGGTTTCTAGTTGAGTGGTAACATAAAAGGATTTCGTCCATAGTCTCAAAAGTTGGAACGACATACGAAATGAATAGCATCATATGAAAGTACTGCTGAAGAGGTTTCATTTGAATAGTAACACCATAGGATTTCATTCACAGACTCAAACGTTAAAACAACATACTGTATAAATAACACCATGTGAAACTACGGCAGAGAGGTTTCATTGAATGGTATTACTGTAGAATTTCATTCACAGATTTCAAAGTGAGGGTGTCAAAAAAAGTCGGGCCACACCTTGAACTTTAAAAACAGTTGAAGTAAAAACGCAAAGCAGTTAAATATGAGTTTTCTGAACAAAAATGTACCATAAAGTGATTTCTTTTACTTACGTCGCTACCTACGGTCTTTACATTGTTATGGCATTAGTAAAGGGCTATCGATCTCTGCAAATACATGGTTGATACAAAAGGTGCATTTATGTTACCCTGAAAGCAAGGACTAATTTAGCTACATGTATTGTAATATGGAGTAGACATTACGAAAAACTAGGCTCTTTACGCGGGTTGCCTATATGGGTACCATACGTCACATGTGAGGTTCAAAATAACGACGTTGTGCTTGTTGCTTTTTAGTGTCTTGTACAGAGCTGATTAAACAGTCCCTTGTGGATGATTCAAAGCTTGGCGAGGCTGTGAGACCATATGTGGAGCGAAAAATGCTAGGTAAGAAGATAACACCGTCCTTTTGTTCAATCGATTTCAGTAAACAGGGTACGAGTGAAGGCCTCAAAGTGATCCTTGTTGTTGTCGCCAGCCTGAGAAAATAGCCGACGAACGCACACTGGTTTCCCCGCGAAATGTCGTCTAAGAAACGAGCGCAGAACTTCCATGCTGATGACGTGTCACTACGCAGAACCGTAGGTAGTGTTTCTGAATGGTGATGCCGCGAGGGAACTTTCCTTCAAGCAACCAGAAGCAGTGCCCATATCTGGGCGGTGACACGTCATCAGTACGGAATTACTGCGATTGTTCCTCAGACGTCTTTTGGTAAGGAAACTAGTGGTGGCGTCTTTTGAATATTAGGGCAACCTCGTCCCCACAAAGCCAGCGAAAACTCGCCCTGGGGACGAGGTTGATTTTAGGGAGCTTAAGAAACGACGACGGCGACGTCAACGAGAATAGCAAAAAAGCAATAGGTTTGATTAGCAAAACAACAACTTTGCACGTGCATCACGCTTTTTTGTTGATTTCTTTGCCTTCTCTGCACGACTTCGACGTGAGACTTCCTCATTTCACGTTTTATGGAGGACGTGAGCACATGACAACGATTTTTTTTTTCTTTTGTGAACTCAGATACAGCTCTTTAGAATTCAACTTCTAAAATAATAGCCATCTTTTGACTAATTTATAGTGTTGGGATAAGAGCAATGAAGTTTGAAACAGCGCGAATTCACTTTTTGGGTGACGTCTTCTCTGTCGTTGCTGTCGTTGTTGCCTAAGCTCCCTATAGTCGTCTTCAAAAATACAGCTACTAAATGTTTCGTTTTCTTTGCCTTTACTTCCTAGTCCCCGATGACTTAGTTCTTCAGTTGCTACAAAATCGCCTTGCACAGCTTGACGCTGTCACAAAAGGTTGGGTAATACACGGCTTCCCCAAGACCAGGGAGCAAGCAGAGTCGTTAACGAGAGCTGGATATGAACCCAATAGGTACACAAGCCCGAATACGTTCGCTCAATCTTTTATAACAGATTATACAGTGGTCACATAGCTGTATGTAGAATTGTTAAATGTAGTGGCATCGAAATGTCGAGAAGCAGAGCATGTCATAGTTAGGGGGAGCTACAGAAAATGACTTAAAACTGTAATAACCCTATAAATGTTTACGCCATATTTCATCCCCGACGTGCATCGTTTGTGAACAGCTTGATTTTTTTTCTTTTGCATTTGCACTGTTGGTGCGTGAGTATTCTTTTTCATTTAACTGTCCTGAGAATTCGTTGTTGTGAAACCTTTTTAGGTTGAAAATTGCAAAACGAAGCTTGGTAGTCAGTAAAATTTGAGAGTCTTACTTAAGCACATATGAGGACATTTATGTGATTACTCATCAGTGTTGTTGATTGATTAAGGGTGGTGTTTATGGACGTACCAACAGACACTATCCTTGAGAGACTAACCTTAAGAAGCGTAGATCCAGTTACTGGGGAAAGGTGAGTATTGGCACTTCAAGTAACCTCTTTAACATATTCACTGTTGGTTTTGCCCCGGGCATGAATATCTTCGTTGATAATGGTAACAGGACTGAGTGGAGTCCAATTCGGTCTGTAATCATACAAGTGATTAACATAATCGGGCGACGGCGTAGCAGGATCACGAGTATGGTTACAGACCGAATTGGACGACACGAAGTTCTGTTGCCAATTAATCATGGCTGTAACAAAATCTGTGATTTTTTTGGACCTTTCAAATTAAAAAACATGAAATTCCAAGCGTTTTTTTGTTAGCGGTAAAAAAAGCCATTGAAGTGTACGCGTGCGATGGCGCGTGCTGTCCAATTACTTGGGCATGACGCGTACTCTCCTATTACACTGTACTTTTAATGCTGAAATCAGGACAGATGATAGCCAGTCATATTTGAGAAAATTGTTATAGTTATGATTATGCACTTGTCACCGGAAACCCCCACGCCGGGGAGACGTGGGGCATACGTGGGGATTTGTAAGTGGTTAGATGACTTACCAGCCCCCAGGGGGTGGGGGAATAGTTCACTTTAGACAATTTATATTGTAGACGGGGACTGTACTCTAGTCCGAAGCACATGGTCGATTGTTCAAAAGGTATATATACATCCCATCTACCCTTGGAGGACCTGTTCATACTGCTAAGGGGACTGATGAGAATCAGTTGAAAAAAAACCTCGATTTAGCAGCTGATGTGTATATTTCAAGAGTGCAAGGGGCTCCATGTGGGGAAGCGAAAGTACACTTGTACAAAGATGCTGGTGGTCTTGAAGCCAAGAAACTCTTAAATAGGAGGCAGATGCTGCTGAAATTCTTAAGCGGAAAATCCACTGAAAAAGAAAGTTTGCAGAGAAACCATCCTGAAATGTACAAGTATTTTCAACAAGTTTGGAAAGTGTATCCCAGTCGCAAGTTGCCAAACTTGTCTAACAAGTACTTTTTAGTGCTTGCTTTGTGCTTTCAACCGGGATGCCCACATAGCCTGTGTATGGCTGGGAACAAAGAACAGAGTTGCTGGTATGAAGGTGGACCTCCCCTTACTTATTTCCCACTTCCAGTCCCTGATTCTGCAAAACCATGGGGCGGTAACTGCTCCAGCTGTAAAGGTCAATGTCCCGGTCACTATATGAAGCCACATGAATTGTCACAGTGTTTCCAAGGTGTGTCAGAAAAGTAGGACTTTGCATATTTCGCTATTAAATGTTAACCAGTCTCTGAAAAATCCAAACCTTTAGTCGGGGCTTAAACTAAAAATTCTCCCCTTTAAGGTGGGGCTTTTTCTTCCTTTTTTTCGTTCAGCTGTCTAATGCCCCACGTCTCCCCTGTTTACACGGGTGGGTCCAGACAACAGCCAGAAACTTGAACCGATCCGCCTTTCGTTTACACGGGGACCGGCGGAACAACTTTTGACCTGGTCAGAAGTACGGACTCGTGTAAACAGCAGTACAATCTGTGACAGAATTTGCACGGTTCCGTGTAAAGGGTTTGCACAGATAAAAAATTCTTCCGTTCACAAATTTCCCCAGACCCGTGTAAACGGCGTCTAAAGTGGCTCGATTAGCGTTTTTAGGGGCCGCCCCTACAATACCTCAATACCTCCCAAGTTTAGGCATTAACTAGATCGTTACTTAACAAGGATATCGGAAAACCGTCACCCGAATTGTTTGAGATAAAGATAATTATGCCTCAGCAGTTTCGCTCTGAAAAATATAATTATTTTAAAACGTGTGAAAATAGTTGATAGGGATAGAAGAAGGGTTTGATGAGCTTGCGTTAAGGAGCTCTTTTTATGTGGTCGGTCTACTGCAAATATGGAAACTGTGTGATTATTTTTTTTAAATTGATCTATTCGAGGTTGATTATAATTTTGCATGTCCTTAAAGTTTTAGGACTTTTAAACCTTGAAGGCATAAAATGAAGCCCCCCAATGCCCTTTTAATTGTCACAGATTCTGTGTTATGAGAGTTCGTTTTATTCAAGGGATTGTCAAATAATTATTCACTTCTTTTGGCTTGTTAGATATCACTTGATTTACAATCCACCTCGAACAAATGAAGTTAAACAACGGTTACAAACGGTGAGTACTCTGTTTTTATCAAATGTTCAAAAAAAATGTTAGTTATGGGCCAGTTGTTCAGAAGATAGATAAATCACTATCCAGTTCAGTGGATTTGACAGTGGATAACTATTAGGAAAACTAGTTGCGTTATCCAGTGGATAGTGATTTATCCGGTGGATAGCGCTATCCACCTTTTGAACAACTGGCGCTTGGACAACTTTGTGTTCTGTTTCGATTCAGAGCCCAAAAGACGTAGAGTCAGCGGTCAACCACCGGATGGTCGAGTACCAGGCCTACATTGAGGAAATCGGAGAGTACTACGAGGGGACTGGGGAGCACGTCAATGCTGATCAAGATATACACACCGTGTTTGAGTGTATTGAGAGTATAATAGTAAACCCAATACCACGAAAGGAGTAATATCACTGGAGTATGGAGGTTGCATGGAGGATATTTGTAAACGAAGTTGTAAATATTAACAAGCATTTAGCTTTGAAGACAGTGTATCATAGACGTAACTGAAATCTTTTTTAATTCCAGTTGTCGAAATCTTGTTCTTGAGAATCGCAGCTGTTGTAATAAATAAACCTTTGGCTGCAATAAACGATTTTGAATTTGCATTCACGTAGAGGTGGCTATCATGTGCTCAGATGATTAGACAGGAGACTTGCGGACGGGAACATCGATGTTGAAGGCTTGTGGGGGAAACTCGCCAATCAACTCACTGGGGTTAACAGGAATCTGCCTGTGATTGAGTTTCTTAACGTTTACTGCTAAATATGCAGCACTGTGCACATATGCGTGGTTTGACGAAAAAAAAGGAGCTACTAGCGGAAACCAATTGAGTGCTGCGTTTATTATTTATAACATAACAACAGCTAGAATAACAACCTTTAATATTACATCAAACTAAAGATTTCAAGCTGTTATCCACATAGAGACGGTTATATAGGAAGCTAGCCTCTTCTTCTTGGTATAGATATACGTCGTCACTTGCGAACTTCTTTAAGGCGAAGTTAGCGCGGCCTTTAGTCCTATAGTCCTCTGGGTCACTGTCGATGTGGCCAGCAGAGAAAATTGCGATGCTCTGTGGGTTTACGGGGACCTGGTGGAACATGCCTTCAAAATTGCCCATGACGGCTACAAGTTCCTGACGAAAGCGGCACAACATACTAAGTTGTTTGTTCGATCCTTGCCTTCGATGAGGCATCTGTTGAGGGATTCGCTGAAATTCCACTCGACATATGAAAACGACTCTTATTTTGCCTTGAGTTTTTGGTTGGTATACGGTGTGGTATGCGGGATGCACCGCACTATTTTCCTTTGCGCCTGGAAAATTCTTGGCGTGGCCACCGCTGATTGTATTGCCTAAAAAGGCCAGGTAGTCTGCCTTATGCTTAAGCCTTTTTTTAAAATCTGTTGACACAATTCAGAGCATCTTTCTTGTTGTTAGGCAACGTTATCGATTCTTGCCTGAACGGTAGTGGCGTCTCGTAAATACCATAACATCTGATGAATTCCTTCATTAACCTTTGATAAGAACTTCAGAACGCCGGTTGCAAAGGTTTTATCATCAAACGTTTCCTTTCTCGTGTGGATCCAAATTACTTCTTCTAGGGTTACTCTTTTAGTTGGTTTCGCTGCCTGTTCGTTACAGGATTCTACGATATTCTTGCTTCTCTCTCGAATTTGCAGTATTCTGCGAATGGGGAGATATCCAGTCTTGTTTGCAGCTTCTGTCGATACTGAACTTTTATCTTCATTAACCAAATGGCGATACCAAGTAGCTTAGTAGCTTCCTGGTCATTTTTTTGGTTTTCTTCTGGACCGTTGAGAAAATTAAGATACTCAACAGTGTTCATTGCTGTGAGACAACGATGAAAGAAGTCTGAGAATTTCCTAAAACCATAGTCATCGTCTGAAAGATTATTGGAAACTACACGCAAAGGTATAAAACAAGAAAGCGCTCTGATACTAAATATTACATAACAAAGACATTGATCACCTATGTAAGTCTTTGTCGATGAAGTAACAAAGTCCAAAACATAAACGATAGCAAAAACGGGTTTGAGAAAAACGGCGAAGGAAAGTACCTCTGTCCCGTATAGAGAATTAAGTCAGCAAACAACAAAACAATAGTGAATAGTGTCGAGCATAAACGAGAATCAAAGGCGCCCTATTACTTTAAAGGTCAGTTGCGAAATGAAGGTGTCACTATAAGGTAACGCAACAGTGATGATTGTAGTAACGCTCACACGACCAATTAAAGCCCAGGCTCGAATAAGCGCCCATCCCTCCGCCTCCAACCCCCCAAACTGAAGTGCATAACGGGAGTATTGATTATTAGCTCACTAATTTAGCTTACAATGATATCGAAATTGACGAAGTACTAAAAGGGGACTTTCCGGAAGAACAAGGTTTCCTCAAAGTGTGAAGGAAGCAGTGAACTCATTTGTAAACGCAGAAACGTATACACGCGTACAAACGTTCAACAAGCCGCCATGTTCAACATTGTAATTCATCCGCAAAACTATTTTACAGACCCCCCTAGTGGACTAGGGAGGAGAAATTCCAAAACAGGGGTACAGACGGAATGAAGCTTCTGCTCCTCTGACCCCTCTCTTAAAGGACACTGCCAACAGTGTAAGAAGTTGCTAACATACACAGAAACAAGTAACAGTTAACAACGGCTGGTCTGCCTGATCTGCCTACGCTATTGTATTATTGTTGATTTCAATCATGTAGATACTTTGGGAATTTTTTTCCTTTAACTTTTAAATTGTATACATCCTCTTCTCAGGGCCCCTATGGATACCAGCCTCGATGCTGAATGGGCTATCCCATTTAAATAAGGTTACTTTACTTACTCTAGGCCCGCAAAAATGTAAAAAAAATATATAATAAAAAAAATGTCACAGAAGCCTATTAAACTTGTACAATATTCAAGCTAAAATTGTTCAATGTCAGAGTTAATGAAGGGGTTATTCCCAGTCACCATAACGATTCCGAGGTCTTCTTTCTCTTCCACCGCGGCTTCTTACAGTCTCCTAAGGCTGTTGACCGAAAGATTTCCTCTCACCTCTCTCTGTCTCATTGTGATGAGTAGATTGTAAGACACAAGGCAACACTTTTTCATCGGCATTACTCGTACCAACGTCAACTTGAATATTTTCCGCATCACTCATGTCACCTTCAAAACCGTCCGTATCAGATTCGCCCTCCTTTGTCATTGCTGCTAGAATAAAATCCGCAGACACCGTGGTAGCACACTTCCTGTAGGCTCGCCTCCTCTGGCAACAACTGAAACGGGGCCACTGATGATAACAGGCTGAATCTTTTTATCGCCACCAGCTCGAGATACAACAGGCGTAGTCTCTTCTCCCTCCGAAATCCAGCTCCTCAACGCGAGCCCGAGGTACGGCTTAAGACGATCTTCATGGGTCGCCTTCGGTTTCGCTCTTCGACTTCGTTGTATGCGGTACGTTACGTCCGACAACATGGACACTAATAAGTAGGAAAAAATTCCCAGTCACCAACTGTCACCAAACCGGAAAGGCTTGCTGATTACTCGATTGTCATAGTTTCTCTTCTGGATTTCGGGTGCCTTTCCTACGTGTCGCCTCGCTGTCTCGAGTACACTAGCCGATCTCTGTTGTAATGCCAATGCATATTCGGTTGATGAAGAGAACGCGTCGGGGTTTGACTCAGTGATTACATCTAAGAGCACTTCAATTTGCCACCCCAGTATTCGGAAGTAGCGGACAATCTCGATACTCAGTCTCATAGATAAGCGAATCCATGAACGCTATCCACCTCTAGCTGTCCCTCTGGTTCCTTGACCTTCAGAACGGTGCGGAGATCAGTTCTCGTGTGACATTTCCGCCCATGTAAGTAATGGCGAAACTGCTTAACAAAGTCCACTAACGCCTAGAGTTCTTTTCTTGTTACATAGTAGTTTCTCTCAGCTCAGGACTGGCATGCGCAACAGGATGCGCTACCCCATACATCACCTGACTTAGGACAGCAGCTCCAGTGCCATGATTGCTTGCGTCTGTGTCGAGTACAAATGCTGTTGTACACTCAGGGTGTGACAAGACCAGAGCAGTCGACATTAAGATCTTCAACTAGTCAAATGATGACTGGCACTCAAATGTCTAAGCAAGGTCAACATGAGTTTCATTCAGTTTGTGAAGCGGTCTAGTCACTTGAACAAAATTAGAAAAAAGCGTCGATAATAGCTGGCAAATCCTAAGAAGCTCTTTACGTCAGTCGCATTCTTTGGCACTGGCCAATCACACACGCTTTCCACATTAGCAGGGTCAGCATCGATACCACGCTCACAAAACAAAGTGGTCTAGATACTGACGCTCAGCTGAAACAGCACAAATTTGCCTGGTTCAAGCTTAAGTCCAAGAGATTTAAACCGTGTAAACACCTCCTCTAAGTGTCAAAGTTCCGCTGCAAACGATTTCTCATACAGAATGACATCACCAAAATATATCAAGCACGTTTCAAACCTGAGTCCCGAAAAAATCAGTGCCATTAATCGCTCAAAAGTACTTGGTTATTACGTAAGACCAAAGGGCACAACGATCCGCTCATACAGCCCTGCGTTAGTCACGAAAGCAGCCTTGCCACTGCTAGCTGGATCCACTGGAACCAGCCAGTATCCTGAAGGCAGATCCAAGGTGATGAACCATTTTGCTCCAGAACGCACGCTCAAAGAGTCCTTAATGTGCGGCAGCAGATAAGCATCCTTGAAAGTCACCGCATTCACTTGCCTACAATCAACGCAAAATCTTTGGGAACCATCTTTTTTAGTCAGCTAGCACTAAGGGAGAAGACCACGGACTGTTTTATCGCCTAAACAAGTCGTCTACTTGCCTCTCGATTTTTGGTAGGTCTCTCATTTCTCGTATCAGTGTGGAATCTTATCAGGTTGGTCCTGCCCAGATCTCAGAGGGAGAATACATCTTTGTGTCGGTACAACATCTCAGCGACCGCCTGACTTTCCTCTTCGACCAACTGTTTTGATCTACGCTTTAAGAGGATCTGGTAACGTTTCCTTAATCTCGTCTCCACCCCCGTGTATTTTGTGAGATGCACTTTTAGAGCAATCCGAGGTCTGATCGGGAATCTCCAGCCCTGCTACACTGGTCACTGGTTTAGCCACAGCTACGACAATTTGCGCACTCATAATTTGCGCTTTGTCCGATGTGTTAAAAATTCGCACAGGAACAAGGCTTGCTCATCCTGCAGACACTAGAGTTCCGCCGACGTACAAGCCTTTCTCTTGAAGACGGGTGCCGCAAGGTTCCAGGATTCGCACCCCTTGATTGGCAGCTCAGGCGATGACCTATGGTGGAAGAGATGGGCGGGTACTACTGCCACACATTCGGCTGTATTACTACAAGACGGTGCGTTATACATCTGAGGGTAAGTTGTTGACCACTTTCACTACAACAGTCCATCTCCTCGCCATTAATAACAAGTCGTTGTTGTATCAACAACATCACCAGCTCAACAAAACTAATGTGGGAGCTGTCGGCTGGGACCCGCACGGCGGATCAGCATTTACGGTTATAAGCGTGCCAGTAAATTCAATAAGGGCGTAACAAC